ATATTACTATTAATATTGTTGTTGTTATCACCTTTATTATCGTTATTATGACTAATTTGTATTATTAAAGTAAATATTTTAAAAGGACCGACATGTCACTGGTGATTCACGTCATTGGATGCATCCTTGTCACTGACGGGTTTCAAACATAGCCCCCAATGGTCGAACAAATATGAAGGACTGAAGTCTGTCACTCAAAAATACCAATTGTTCCTATTGTGGATAATTAATACTAGATGCTGCACCCCACCTAATTTTAACGTACTGTAGGCCTAATTCTTGGGCGTGGTTCTGAAGAAAATGGTATTGAAATGCACGCCATCGTGCATTCATTTGATTTTAGTCGGATTTAAAATAAATTTTTAACATTTAAAAAAATCATAATGTGGTTTTTCTATTTCAATTTTTTATGATTAGGTCTACAGTATGTACTCATGTTTTATGTCAGTGTTTTAACGTGAACAAAATTAAACATTAATATATGTGTTTTTCTTAATTTTCTATACAAAATACATGTATGTTTAAGTAATAATAATAACAATAATAATAATTAATAATAAAAATAACAACAACAACAACAGCAACAACAATAATAATATAACATACACATTCAATAATAAAAAGATTGGGGAAACGCAATAAGCAGTAAACATTTAAATAATTAAAACTTTAAAATACAGACACAATGATGCTAAACATTAATATATGTCTATGAATTTATGAAAAAAATAAACAATTATAAACATGAAAGTGTACAACGATTTAATACGGTAAAAATGAGGCGAAATTGTCATAGAAGTCAGAAACGCGAAAGAATGATAATTGTGGGAGAACGTGACTCAGTCAGACACAAATGAGTTAATCTTGGCTATTTGTATTGTAAAAAATGATTTATTCACGTCAAAATATATCCGCAAACAAAACACGCAATAGTGTATTGATACGTAACAGATGGACAAAGTTACAGCTATAACAGTTGATCACAACGATTACATCGATTACAATGCTTGACATGGATTACAACAGTTACAACAGTTGCATCAATTACAAGGCTTACAGCTATTACAGCTTTTACAACTATTACACAATTCAAAACCTGAAACCAAAACAAATACATATTACAATATTTCAACTAACAAATTACAAACAATACATTTTGCCAATAACAGGCCTAAGCACGGCCTAAAGTCAGAACCGTAACATGCCTATTCATAAACATTAATTACTGTACTGTTATAGTTAAATGATAATACATAAATAATTAGTATAATCACATTCATAAATGTACACTCATTAATAAACCTAATATTATATTCTATATTATTACCATTACAACAATTAATAAACTTGCCATAGGCCAATTAAACTCATAACAGGTTAGCAATAACAGGTTAGCAATATCAGGTTAGCAAATCAACTTCAGTACCAATAACATGAGCTTACGCTTGGTAAACGCTAACTGAATTAAAGTTTACTAGAACAAACATATTTGAATAGAGCCATATAGGCCTACGCACGCGATCAATAGGAGTGCGTACTTCGGTCGTACGTGTCATTGTCGCTATAATTACGGTACGTCATTACATAATACGTGCTAACACTTAATACTGTACTAAAATACGACAACAATGATAATAATAATAACAATATCAATAATAATAATAATAACAATATAACATACAAATTCAATATTAAAAAGATTGGGGAAACAATATAAAAGCAGTAAAACATTTAAATAAATAAATCTTTCAAATAGACAAAATTAGTCTAATAATAATAATAATTTATAAAGCGCCAATATCACTAAACTAAAGTAAAAATCAAAGGCGCTGTGCAGTGTGTGCTTGTTCAAAAGGTGAGTTTTGAGTTTGGTCTTAAAAATAGCAACTGAAGGTGAGTCGATAATATATTTTAGGGAGTTCCAAAGTGTTGCAGCTGAAAATAAAAATTATCTGTGGCTGTAGGATTTGGAGTTGCAGTGCTCTAAATGTTACCGTAGTAACAGAATGTTATACTTTATTCGTGAATTAATTGGAAGCCAGTGCAAATTTTAGATAATGGGAGATATGTGCAATCGTCTATTGGTAAGTGTTAGAATACGTGCGGCAGTATTTTGAAGACGTGACCAGTTTAGCTTAACACTTTGTCATAAAAGTAAAAAATGTGAAATAATAATAAATAACACTTTAAAATATAGACAAAATTAAGCATATAAATAATTCATAATAGACCTACATAATTAAATTAAAAAGTCAGTGCAAACACCATGCCTGTGCATATTTTTGGGTGGGCCAATCCAACATTGTCTTATGCCCTTAATAAGCAGCATAACAGAATCACCGATGAAGGTTTAGGCAAAAACCATGACGGTAACTTCTTACACTATGACTGTTAATCATCTCAGAAATCTCACTTTAATGCAACAATAATTTGGGGTTTTTTTTTTTATACTTTTTAATAGAGGGCGGAATTCACCACTATTTGAAATATTATTTGCCAACAAGTCACATGCCTGGTCATGTGTGCGGGTCCCCAGAATACAACTACCCCCTCCGAAGTGGAACCCTCTCAGGGGAGTTCTTGTACCAGGTCACCATTGGGGTTCCTATCTTATCAGTAAGTGAATATACTTTATTTTTACTCATATATATATATATATGAACTATGAAGATTTAAAATCTATATTGATATTATTGGTTGGGTAGTTCCCCATTGCAGATGCAACTATACTAATATCATTTTAAAAGTTATGTCTGCTATCTATAATGTTATTATTTCTCCTTTCTAATTGCTCTTTATCAAGAACATCAATTTAAGTTGTAATAATTCTATGAATGAATGAACAAAGCTTTCTTGTTTGGGAGACATAATTACAATTTATCCTTAATTTAGTTTGTTGTATTTGAGCTGTTTACAACATCCCGGTCAGGGCAGTCTAAGTTGGTTGAATGCCTTCGTCAAATCGCGAAGTACATATTTGGCATGTTGTTGATGTTGATAATTGGCCAGACATTGAAGAGTGTGACTGGGGTACCAAGACCATACTATAACACAGTCTGCAAACCTAAGTGCACAGATGGTTTTCCGTATGTCATTGCAGAGAATGAGGCTTGTCAAACAACCCTTCGAGAAGCTACGTAAGAAATAAATCTTCATATAAACTTACTACATTTTACTTTAGTTTGGTGTTGGAACCTTTCAATATTTTTCTTTATTCAAAGTCCTGTTTTAGTTTGTTAAATGCATTTTGTACTGTATGTCATGAACTAAGAAAATTAATTTCCTATTGGAATTACTTAATATTTATATTTAATTAAGTTATTTACTTCTAATTAAAGATTTCATTACAAAAAAAATGGCTAGTATCTTAAGAATTTGTTTAATGTCTGTATAGCCTGGTTTTCTTAAAATCGCTACACTGTCAAAGTTCTGGTTTAGTTTGTTAAATGCATTTTGTACTGTATGTCATGAACTAAGAAAATAAATTTCCTATTGGAATTACTTAATATTTATATTTAATTAAGTTATTTACTTCTAATTAAAGATTTCATTACAACAAAAAATTGCTACTGTAGTATCTTAAGAATTTGTTTAATGTCTGTATAGCCTGGTTTTCTTAAAATCGCTACACTGTCGCTGCAGGGTTTTTAGTGCAATCATTATACTGTATAGCAGTCACTGACGCAATCAGGAAGGGTCCCCAATTTTACCGGGCAGTCAGCATCAACGAAAGCTGTCGGTGATAGCGTGTAGCGATCGTATGGAAATCAAGCTTAAATCAGCAACTGGTAGGAAGTTACAGTATAACAAATAAATAATTGATTACGCATTTGAAACTTTTAACTGAGGTGCACTAGAATATGCTAAATATAGTAATTTAGTTTGCCTAGTTAGTATTTGGTAGGAATACTGTAGCTGACTGTGTCTGATATAATATCTACAGTATATATGGTTGTACTGAAGCTGACTGTTATTTCCTATTTATAAGACACTGTGTTTTTCATATCCAATAGATTATGCTTGTCTGAGCTACTGTACCTTAGCCATATTTAAGAACTATGTATTATTACAGCTAGCAGATAGTTATTCCTTATTCTTCAAGACTTTCATTTCAATCAGTTTGTTTACTTGTTATTGTTTCTTATATAATTCCTTATATAATTTGTCAGTTATTTTATCTTTCAGACGTTCTTTCCCTGCCCTTCATGCCAGTGTTGCCTTCTATGCTATGGTATATTTTGTTGTAAGTATTTGTGTATTTATTTATCTCCTCCACATCTAACAGCAAGTACACTTGCCACTTACAGGTTGGACTGATGCTTTATAATCCAAGTGTCATTTTGAGGCCTAGGGAATAGAGTTGGTTTAGTTGTGAGAAAAAGTTCTGCTGTGACAAAAATTGAACCCAGAACCCTGGGATAGGAAGTAGGGCACCTTAACCACTGAGCTACAGTATTCAACTCTATTGTGTAAAAAACAGACTGTACTGTTTCTCTAAGTGTATTATGTGCATATTTAAAGTTAATGTAAGATATTAGATAAATATACACATGTATGATACACACCCCAATCCCCCACACACGCACACTATTGTGGCATATGTTTGTATAACTGTGTACACTTGATTTCGTCTTTATTAAATATTGTTATTGTTTAATAAGAAAAAAATTTAATAATATCAAAATAAAGTGTGTACTTTATGAATTTGGCAAGACTTTTTTATACATTGTTTAGCGAACCCTCTGCCTGAAAATAATGATGATTTCAAATAAAAGTAAAATTTTATTTTTGGCTATTTTATCACACCCACTGCCACAAAAAATGAAAATTTCAGAAAAAAAAATTAAATTATTATACCCACCATTGCCTTGAAATCTCCAGAAATAAGATATGTATCTTTCTTCCTAATTATAAAAGATTAAAGCATTTAACCATCCCATTTCTACACTGTTTACATTCACTGTCAATACAATTTTATTTCTATTTTTTCCTCCGTTAGGATGTTTTTGGCAAAAATATTTGAAGAAATAGAAATCCATGTCAAATTGTAATTTTATCCACCCTCCTCTGACAAACTTTTAAAAACTTAGTTTGCGAAACAAGGTATATAAAAAAAAGTCTCGCCTTATTAAATGTTTAAAAAAAAATTATATTCAAGTTGTATGTGGAAGCACGTTGGACATCACAGAAACCAGTCACAATAAAACCAACCTTACAGGGTGCAGCCTTTGTATTTGCGTTGTATGCTAGCTGTACCCGTATCACAGACTACAAGCACCACACGTTGGATGTAGTTGGAGGCGTAGCCTTGGGTATCTTGGTGGCACTGTTTGTGGTAAGGAAATTTACAATGAAATGGTGTTTTTTTATGTAGCGTTCATCCTCTAGCTCACATTCTTAAGTTCAAGCTATAAGAATCGATTTTTATAAACTAATAATGTCTCCTGTTGTCCTGTTGGGGAGTGTTAGGCCTGTAATTTTCCCCCATTTTGTGTGAGAACTACTCACTCAGCAATAAAGTAGGCTCTGAAATGGTGGTCCTGACTGCCCCTAGATATTATAGCTAATTTCATTAGAGTTATTAGATTGAAAATTACTGATTATTAACACATTCTTTTTTGTTTTTTACCAATACTTCAGGTTTACAGCTGCACAGATATTTTGAAATCTCAAACTGCAGAAGAAAAACCGAAATACAAAAGATATTAGATATCCAAGATACAGTGCGAGCTCCAGAAAGAAAGTGTTGAAAATATAACAAATAAAATGACCAACTTTACTCTCAAATGTCCATCTAGGGTTTTGGCAGGAATTATTTTGACTTAAAGAAAGGCCCAAATTACTTTTGTATGATGTGTGAACGGGAGATGCTCTTCTTTCCAAGCTTAATTAAAGAGTATAATATTGCTCTTGGCTTTAAATTAATTGATTTGAAACCTAATCTTGGATATACTGTAACCTATTGGCTATTATCATTTTAATGCATGTGCATGTGGAACTTGATAGTGACCCGGATTTCAAAGTGTCACTATGCTTCGGTGGATACAGTATGTATTATTTGTATTACCATTTATTAGGTGTGAGGTGTTTTTTGGCTTTATTGAATATGTGAATTTCAAAAGAATCATATTCTGACTACTTAAAAAACCAACTATTTTTATAATAAACTATAAAGTTATTTTGAGTGTTTTTTAATTGAGTGTTCAAATTCTGTCTATAAAAGGATAAAGTGCTGCCCTTAATTTCAACCAAAGAAAGAAAAAATATGTAGTTTGTCTATCTTTAAGTAGATAAATGAAGGATTGGTCCTAATAACTATGGGACTAGGAAATTCTAGCTGTGTACTACTGTACGTACAGTATTGGTCACAGTGCAGCCACACCCCATTTTTGAATGGACAAGAAACAATGGATCTTTGTGGAGTGTCAGTCAAGCAGTTGACCAATCAGTACAGGGGCAGGAATACGCACTTATCTTACAAAAACGCACACGATTACATAGGTTTACGCTGTCGTTTTAAGAGAAACTAGCAACAATATCCAAAGGTCTCTGAGGGGTTTTCAATTTGGATTATGATGATGATGATTATGTAACCTGCATTTTACTCAGTAGCACAATGCAAGCTTGTAAAGTTGCATGAAATAAGTCTTCATCTTTGATAATAAACAGAGTTTTAAAAAAAAATATAAGTTAACTATATTCATTTTTTTTATATTGTGTGTGATGTTATCAAGGGGTGTATCCAGGATTTTTTCTGGGTGGGTCGTGATCATAATTTTTTGAACCTTTTCACAATGAAAAAACAGCAAGATGTGATTAAGATATCAATACAATTTTTTTTAAAAATAAATAAAAATTTGCTTCAGAATTGACACAGCCTGAGGATGTTTCTTTCCTTGGTGAAAAACGTTATAGGCACTGATACCTATGAGCAGTTTAAGTGTCATTTAATAAAGTGCAGAAAATCGCATGAATTGGCCTAATATTAGAATAACAAAATTATACCTAATCCCAGTCCTTATCTGAAACCGCAACGCCATTAAGGATAATCTGTATCAGTTGCTGGGGTGGGAGACAGATTACAGCGCCACCAGCCAGTGGATGGCAGGCTCAGTTTCAGAATTGCTGGAATTGAGATAGATACGTCACGCAATTGGCAGAAATATCGAAACAAATTTCAGAAGGATCAATGAAAAAAATGAAAGTAGGCCTACTCTAAATGTTATGAACTTTTATTATTAGTCCAGTGGCATAACAAATAAGTATGAAGACCCTGGCCAGGACTTCTTCGTGGCCCTACTACTCTGGGGAAAAGCCTGTTGTTTTAAATGTTTTAATGAGTTTTTTTTTTTTCATTTAAGTGCTCTTTAAAAGTGCCCCGCTATGCCAATGTATGAAGAAAATTGCTGATAAATATCCAGGTGGTCCTTGTGGGACCCCATGGCATTAGGGAGAGTCTATAACTGTTACGCCACTAATTCAATTTCGGACGGATCCAGAGAATCTAGATAGAGGGGGGGGGACTTGATGATCAGTTGAGGCCAAAACTGGCAATATAAGGTGATTTTTAACTACTTGACCATGATTTTTTGGGGGAACGATTAATTTTTCAAGGAAGGGCTTAGCCCTAGTCAAAAAACTTGTTTTGGAGTGTAATGCAATAAAAGCACGTTACTAATGGCTTATTACTTAGAAGTTTTAATTCTCTTTAAATAGGCCTAGATACTTTTTGAAATACATGTAAATTGATTTTGAAAAGCACAAAATAAATGTGCCAAATGACAAAGTTCGCTTTTGAAAGAACAAAAACAGTTAGCTAATGATCAGTACGTTTTTCTTTAAATAATGACTGTTGTGTTAATAATATATTAGAACTGTATAAAAATCATAGTAGACATACTTTTTCATTCAAAGAAAATAAATACTGTACTGTAGAAGGCATCACGACACAGGATTCGATCACAAACTATAAGTCATAAGTGATTAAGTTATAGCAGCGCTTTCATTACATGTAAAATTCTCAGTTTTCTCTCTCCCTTTCACGTTTATAATTTTCTTCTCTCAAAATTTATTGTTTATTAAATTTATTGTTGTTTTTGTTTATTTATTGATTATCATTTCTAAAAGGAAAATAACACATAGGCCTATGGCCTACTCATACTGCGTATACTCATATAGTACATCCGTGAATTTAAATAGTGAACCTTTTACCACGGTCTCTAATTCCCTCTCTCCCCTCTCTCCTCTCACTGGCGCCACCACAGGGCCAATCTTGTTTATTTTTTATTTTTAATGTCTGCAGTGCCATGTGTGATCGTACGACGATGGGGGAAGTAATGGAAGTTTTATTTGATTGCTTTTTGATATTCATTGGTGAGAAGTAAAAATGGAAGGAGTTAAAAAAAACAGTAGTTTTATTGCTTTACAAATTCATCAGACAAATGTCTGAATTATTCAATAGGGTAAATAATAAATAGGCAAAGCTAACCTAACTAGGCTATGCTCAGAAGACCACAACTAGGCCTAGCAATGTCTAGTAGTAGGCCCTCTTTGGCCTAGTAGGTAGGCCTACCTAATACTGTATGTGGTAGGCCGAGGCCTAGAGGTGAGAGATAGAATAGGAAACGTCCCTTGCCAAATCGGCTAGAAATTCACCTGGATTATAAGCTTTTCCTTGATAGTAGAGAGAGATAGACTTAATTTTTCTTCACCATAGATAAATTAGGACACACAAAAAAAAAATTAGATTATCCCGCCCGCGTCAAAAAAAAAAAAGGGATGCGGGAATAAAAAAATGTTGTTTTTTTTTTGTTTTTATTTGCCGCATCATTTATTTTAACAGCAAAACAAGGCAATTTTGTGACTGGAAGTACTTTTTCTTTAAAAAACAATAAACGCTGTGGCTAGTGATACGGTACCAAATTTCCACTTCGTTTTGCTAAAGGTACGATAAGTGGAATTACGTCACCATCACCCAATGAAGTGCCAGAATGTGCGTGACGTCATTTTTTGAAGACTGGCAAGTTTTGTGCATTCAAATTGTATGAGTATTTTGGTCGGATTGTAAAGCGTGGTGTTTCGAGTATATTAAGCTTCTTGGACAAAAACTAGGGATGTTCAGACGGTATGATCATGGAGGAACTAGGCTAAAGTTTATGACTGATATATGCCACCCAGATCAATGTCACCAGAGCAGCTGCTGCGAAAAGCAGAATCCACTCAGGCCTTGCTTGCTTAGATTTTTTGCCAAGCGAAGAATTTAAGCAATGCCTAGAGGCATACCAAGAGTTATACATAGGCCTAGCTAAATGAAACATTTTACTAAGTGGAACCATACGCCTATTTATCGGTGACAGTACTAAGTCAAACAATATTGTACTTCTTGATGTTCTATTTTCCCAGTACTGTACTCACCGCTCATCGCGGGTGATCTGCAGTGCCAGTCTTGAAAAAGGACGTCACTCACATTCTGGCACTTCATTGGGTGATGGTGACGTAATGCCATTTACCGTACCTTTAGCAAATTGAAGTAGGAATACGGTACTGTATCTCTAGCCACGGCGAACAATAAAATTAAACTAGTTTTTATACATTTACAATATTCTTGCCAAATAAAAACAGTCCCTCCCTCATCGATAAAAAAAAGCAATACTATTGTTCCGATTGAAAAAAAAAACTCCTGCCCTCATCAGCTTTTTTTTTTTTTTTTTTAAAGAGTGAGAATCTATTAATATTTTTTATGTGCCCTTATTCAAGGTATCAGTAAACCCCGCCCACTACTTGATTGTAGCCCTCCCCCTCTCTCTGATGTATCTTATTAACTATATTCTCTTTCAGAATGTTCAAGTTTGTATTGTATAAGTAAATACATGCCTATGTGGCATATGCCTGGACATGGTGTTTTTGAAAAGCAGTATAGTTATCCATATGTTAGAGACACAGTCACAAAAACTTTCCTTGTCAAGGCATCTTTCATCATTCCAATTTCCTCAGTAAGTAAACAAAATAATTGTATTTATTTTATCTGGTAAACCACCTCCTTAGATATCATAGAGATATCTGGATTTTTAAAATAGTATTAATTATATTTTAATATCCTGTATTTTTAAAGGTCACTATATTGTAAAAAAGATGAGAGCTAATATGCAGCAAGCTTAAACTTAAAGTTGTATTATATTATTAATTTTTAGTTTATTTAATTTCCATCCAATTATAAGATAGAAGTTAGTTGTTGTTCCTACACATGGCATCCACCATGTAGGGATATATGTCGCAGCTTCAAATGACCTGCAATTGTGATTGGAAAGTTTGTATCTTAGTATTTGGAAGGGATTTAGTTTTTTAAAGATCACATATTAATTATTAGCAGAAAATTAAATTTAGCAAAAAAAGTGTTTTCCACTTTGTCTTCCCTTGTACCATGATCTCTAAATTATCTTTATTCTTTTCTATAACTCTAGTTCTTCATCTTCGAAATCTTCACCAAAATGTCACCTTTAAGATCTAAAATTTTCTGTTTTCTAAATCAAATTACAAAATTTGCATGTGGAATATTATTAATGCTAATCTTCGGCGTAGTGCTGAAACATGTGACCGGTGTTCCAAGACCATATTATAATACGGTTTGCCGGCCAAACGTCAATATGAATGAAGAAGTATCAAGATATCCTTATATACTGAATGATAAAGATGTGTGTGAAAATCCAGATTATGAAGCAATGTAAGTTTAACATTTAAACTAAATGTTTAACTATGAATCATTAACTAATAACAAAAATGCCTTAAGCCTTGTATAGACTTTCAAATTTATTTGACAAAAATGAGTGACATGTTTAAATCACGTAGTATCGTGACGTAACACTGTAATACTCTATAGCTAATACCCAAATAGAAAATCTATTTCTTAATTGTTAATTGATTTCTGGTTTACATATGAAATTATTGAAATACTGAATTGGTTTCTTTTATCTGTAGTCGTTCATTTCCATCTCTACATGCAGCTGCAGTATTCTATAATTTTGTTTATTTGTCAGTGAGTATTATCATTTTTTTGGTTTTTTTTCTTATTTTACAGTTTTAGTCAGGCATATTAGGGCAAAATTTGTAATGGATATGAATGTTCCGGATAAAAGCACTAAATTTTGTTTTACGTGCTCTGTAACACTCTGACCATCACTGTAGTGATCTTTCTAGGACAGGTCTTATATTTATTTTTGTCTTTAGCTCATGACTCATCCCATCATTCCTCTATACCGAATTTACTCTTACAGGGTTACTAGACGATAACATAGTGTCTAGCTCACAGAGATCTCCATGTTTGGCGGTCAAGCATTGTGTTACCAAACACAGATCTCCATGTTTGGCAGGCAGAGTGTTATGGCCGTAACATTCAATTTTTAATAAAACCATTTATGACCCTAATGACCATCTGACCACAAATAGTACACTTCCTTTATTATATCACATAAACATACTTAGAATAAAATTTTCAATGGTTTAAAATCTGAAATATAAATTACTATATAAAGATTGGAGATGGCTGCCGTAGTGAGAACCTGGATGCAATACAGTAGTTATTCTCAAAAATGAATTCTGAAAACATGAATATAATTTTTTTGTAAAACATGACAGCTACCTAATTTTTATAATTGCCATAGATTTGACATGGAATTACATTAAACCCTGTGTTAATGAACCAAGCTATTGAATGTCATTTAATGTCAACTTACGTCTGCATCATTAAATGCAATCAATGGTGGATCCAGGAATTCCAAATAAAGGGGGTCCATGGAGGGATTCACTAATGGAGGTGTAGATAACCTCAGCCCCACTATGGTCGGGACTGAGTTATGAAAATGTATGATTATGTAACCTCTAGATGCCCGGAAAGGCACTTTCAGACTTAAATTGAAATGTATAATTTTCCTTTTTTCTCCATTTTTGTTTAATTTAGGGGGACCCTGGCCAGCTGGCTTCCACCCCCATCCTTGAACCCGCCACTGTTACAGTAATCAGTAATCATCACATACAAATTTTCTTAACCATAATATTTTTTATTATATTGCTAAAGTGCTACTACGAGTCTCGATGGACTCTTGAGAACTTTGTACTGCTGAAACCCATGCTTCAAGGAGCGTTGTTCTTAGGTGCCATTTTCACCAGTTGTTCTCGCATAACGGATTACAAGCACCATTTGACGGATGTCATCGTTGGCTCTGTTCTTGGAGTGGTTTCTGCAATATTTTTGGTAAGTTGAGGTAACAGGGACATTAATGAGGCCCTGTAGGACCGCTTTCACATAGTAGGCCTAGAGTAGAAATGTAGCTTGTGTTCAAGTGGATTTTTCACATAGGGCCAGAAAAATGTGTTGCATATGCCCAACCAACACAAAAATCTTGAAAAGTCATAATTTATCAATTTATTTATCTATTTATTTATGTTATCTATCTAAATTTATTTTTTTATTTTAATAATATTAATATTCGACTTATAGAGCATATATTGTGGAGACCTATGCGCTGAACATAAATGTTGAAAACAAAAGTGGACCAAAATAGTAATACTGTACTTAACTTTTAAGTATTAGTTTTGTTTGTTATTATTAAGTAATATTTTTTTTGTTTCCAAGTTTTGTATTGTCTATTTATATTTTAACTTAATGTATTGTTTATGAGGTGGTTTTGTGCAGTTGGAATGGTTTGGTTTCCCAACCTTTAGTTTGGGGTTTCAATCCCTCGCTCCGCATTTTGCTTGTGTCCTTGAGCAAGGCACTTTATTTGCATTGCTTATCTCCACCCAGGAACATAAATGGGTACTTTGTTGAGTTGCCTGTTCATGCGTTGATTAGCAACAGCAACGCTCAAAGATGTGGACTCAATGACCCGGGAAAAACAAAGCGTTTTGTAACCTAAAGGAATAGGCGCTATATAAAAATACGAACTAAACTATCTATCCGTAAGAAAATAGGAAAACAATGACACAATTATTACTTATATCTATTCACAGATGGTCAGTGCAACAGATATTTTCAAGTCTTTGTCAAGCATTCCAAAAACAAAGATGAAACAAAATGAAAAGATTGACTGAAAGTGCATTGCTTCATAGTTTGTAAACAATAATAATTCTATTTAATCTATTGATATATAAAAACAGTTTAATATATTTTTAGTTTTTTAAAAACTGAATTGGTAAAATTGATAAATCTAAAGTAAATACTGTTTATCAAAATTATGTTTATTAAGTGAACCTGTATGCTTATACAACCAAATTAGACAGCCGTTTTAGTGGCACTACACTATGGTTAAACTAGAAAGCTTTATAGGTTGGAAATCATAATGAACTAGATAATGCTGCTTTTACACTGCACAGTAAATTCATAGCCTCCCCACGGTGTGATATTTCTCTGATAATTGATGAGTAGGAGTTTGAAACCAATCAGACTTGCCAAACTTTAGTTATCGTGGTAACACACAATTTACTACAACGGTGACAGTGGCAAAAACAAATATTTCAATTTCAACTAAATTATTAGTTTTTATTTGTATTATGATGGTATTTAGTTTAAATTTCATTAGTGAAATATTAATTATGCAAATGAGCAATTAGCATATTCACACACGTACCAGAAACAATAGGCTCTGTTTTCTTATTACTTATTGAAACCAATAAGTCTTAACAAACTTATAGTTATTATCATGGCAACTAGCCTAAATTACCGATTAGTTTAATATTAATTAGGCAAATGAGCAAATAGCATATTCACATGAACCAAAAATGATAGGCTCCGTCTTATTACCTTCTTGCATTCTGCCAAGTTTGAAACCAGTCAGACTTGCCAAACATTAGTTATTGGGGTAACTAGCCTAAATTACCTGATTAGGTTAAAATAGCTAGACTAGCCTAAAATATTGATTATGCAAATGAGCATATTCATACACGTAACAAAAACAAAAGGCTTCGTCTTTTTATTACCAACTTGCATTTTATCAAGTTTTAAACCAATGAGACTTGCAAAACTTTGGTTGTTGTGGTAACAAACAATTTACACAACAAGGACAGTGATAACATGAATAAAAAATGTGTAAAAACAATAGCCTCAGAGGAGCCTCGCTCATTTAGGAAGGCTAATAATACTTAAATTAGGTGTGCTGCATTGTGCTAGTGCTACTGTGTGTGAGTGTTTAAGTCAATTGTATTAAAAAAAAACTGCTTGAGGGTTACGGTAGATCTGTGCCTATACCATAGGTCTAGATGGCTAATGGTACGATACCTTGATAACGAGAGTTAGCAAGCTTGAATCCTGCCAGACACTTTTTTCATACAACTGAAAAAGGAACTTTTCGTTGACAGGCTATATTTATGTACTCTTGATGATTTATATTATATATATATTTCAACATTATTCTCTAATCATGATCAATCAAAATGACACGCATACAACCATACTGTAGGATAATTGAACAAGTTCCTATTTCATAGAATGCATAGAAACCCAAAAAACAAGAACACTAAAACAGAAATCAGAGAGATAAAACGTGTGTATCATTTAATACAGTGTTTTTGCATTGCTCCAATAAATAGCACAAACCATTGACGGTATTAATATTTAGTTTGTTCCTTTATACAATCCACAACACACAAATATTATATTGCGCAAATTTATATTTCAAACAAAAGTGAGGCACACTGTCTTATAGCTGCACATAGGTACATAACATAGTGGGTTATACACTTAGTCACAAACTAACTTCCTTAAGAAAAATAATAATAATTATAATAAACTAATATATTACAAGCTAATGAGGGCAGTATTCAAATTATAGTATTTCAACATTCCAATGAAATATATTGCAGGAGATAATAATTTATACAGTATTGAAAAATGAAGAGTCATTCTACTTTATACTGTAGTATTTTTGTGTTACATTTTGTATGCATTAAATAGATGCACATAAATATAGGGTTACTGGTTGTGGAAGTTCATGCATTTATCTAAAACATTTCAGTTTTTTTTGACAACATATTTTAACTAGAGGAAGACTTAATAATGTACATGTTAATAATCTATATGCATAGATTTAATATTGTTATCAATTTTTACTTAATACTGACATGGTTTATAAATGCATTCATTTAAGATACAAAATAGAAATATAATGTTCTGCCAAAGTGAATATAAAATTTAATTTGTTTTCTTAGTATAAAATGAATTATTAAAGTGTTCTTATATTTGTAAATGTATGAAAAAATAATATAGTATTAAATAATAATAATAAATAAGAATTACAAATTTGCATTCATTTTTATTAATTGAAGTATTCAACGAATTGTGGAAGTGCATTATAATTTGAGTCTCCTTAAACAATAGAAAATATAAAAAGATTCATATTGTTTGTTTAGTAGGACTACCATGTTAATTTGACCATGATTTGACCTAGAAAATAAAATCACTATTTTCCAGTCTACCTCAAATATATATACACCATACATTTAAATCACAGGTGACATAAATAATAATGATTTTTAAGTTTTAAATGTACAGTATAACTTTTATTTAGTCAGTAAATCATATAATGTTAATAATAAATTGTTTTAGCATGTTATTTACATCTACTGTAGGTGATTTTTTGTACCAAGCTTCAAACATGTTTATTTCTTTTATAAAATTATTAACATTTTGAATAATAAAGTAATTAAACTGATTGGATGGAAAGTATCACATGTTTGTATCATGTCACATGTTTCAGTACATTCCAATAGCCAGTAGGTGCCTTGCAGCTAATCACAGCAGGGAAAGTATAGCATGTTTACATTTTCAACATGCTTGGAAGGAGTAATGTGAGCTCAACAGAATTACGTGAACATGATGGATTGGTGCTTCAAATTACCCAGAAGTGGGGAAGATTTCTGTCAAGAAATTGTATTATTAATAATAACAACAATAATAATAATACAGTACCACCGTAATAGCACCAACACTGTTACTGACAATACAATTTGAGCATTTTGTCAGGGTTCCACACCAGACTACCACATTAGGTACACTTGCAGTAACATGTACAGTACACCAAAAGAGGAGCACAAGATAGACAGTAGTGGAGGGTGGACTATTTGTTGTAGTGATAGGATGCACCATACTCTGGTCAAGGTAAAGACAATAGTAAAAATGCAATTGTTTTTGTAATATTCTTATTAATACATTCACTTGAATTTCAGGAAGTATGGGATGTAAGAAAGGAATTCCACTTTATCAATTGTACCTGATTGATCCATCTGAAAGAAAAAGATACCAATTAAATAAAAATATTGAACTTTACTTGAACTGCATGTAAATACAGTATTTAGGAGTTGTTGGTGAGCTAGCCTTCTGTTCACTCCACAAAATTAACCATATCAAAAACCAATTATTGTTAAATGCACTTTGAATTAGTATTTTTCAACATCTTTTCTTTCAGGACTTGCAATAAGTAACTTGTTCTCAAGCGTGATACGTCCATACCTTCCAACATTTTGGAAACATAAGTTGATCCGGAAGAAACGAGACATAGTGCTGTAAATCCTCAAATAAGCGCTGCTCTCAAATAAGCGCCACATCAAACATAATTAATACTTTTAATTGTCCCAATATTCATATGTGAAATGCAAAATTCCAATCAGAAAAAAAAAAACACCTAGCCATCCTACAACATAATTTGTTTACATAGTTAGGCATAAACATTATGCTATTCTGAAAACCTTGCTGTTTCTCTATAGAGCTTTAAAATGAGCTTTTGTAATAACTCTTGGGTCCAAATTTTTTTTTTTAGCAGAGGAATGCGAGTGTTTATTCTTTTATCAAAAATGACCAGACTTGTTAAGGAATTTCTGGCTACCACCCAGGGGGTGGGGTAGTGTACCTTTCACCTCTGGATCCACTACTGACTGATGATTAAGAAGAAAATATATTTTTGGGGAAAATACTTTTGCAACCAAGTGGATGAGAATTAAGAACATACTCTAGAGCTTACTTACACTTATAGTTTTTAGGATTGTTTCAAATGGTATGCTTGCAATATCCTTGTCCAAAGCCATAGAAAGGATCTCTTTCAGGGAGTCCTTTGAGATGGATCCGTTCTGCTGCCGGTCTACAGTTGCAAACAACATCTGAAACAAATGGACACACATTAATTTTTCTTTCAATCAACAACATTTTAATCAAGGGTAGCTTAAGGAAAAATCACCTGCCAACATTTTGAACATCAAAAATTCTAAGGAAAATTAAAGATTTGTAGTAAAATATTATTTTGTTTGACATGTAAAGCCCTGTCCAAACTATCAAATTTATTTAACTAAAAAACTTATATACCCATATATAGTCATGATGTGCCTATATATAGTCATGATGTGCCTATATATGGTCATGATGTGCCCATATATAGTCATGATGTGTCTATGGTCATGATGTGCCTATATATGGTCATGATGTGCCCATATATAGTCATGATGTGCCCATATATATAGTCATGATGTGCCTATATATAGTCATGATGTGCCTATATATGGTCATGAAGTGATGTCATCATGACCATATTTATGCATGTCACATGTTTCGGTCAAGTAAAATTTGATAGTCTGGGCAACTGGGGTTTAAAGCTTTGTCTACACTATCAAATTTCATCAAAAAAGCGTCACGTAAAATGTGATGGAACATAGAGTTGAACACGTTCAAATTTTTTGGATAAAATTTGATAATATGTGATATACTGTAATAATAATAATAATAATTTGCAATTTGTATAGCGCCTCCCGTTGGACCAACCTCGAGGCGCTTGACAACAATGGAAGGAAATGGACAAGAGAAAATAAAAACCATGACATCATCGTACCCATATATGGGCACATCACATTTTTTTTTTGTCACATAAAATTTTATAGTGTAGACAAAGCTCAAGTCAGTAATTTATATGAAACTTTTAAATGATCTGTCCAATGTTTTAATCAGATTTTTAGGAATTTTTTCCAGTCAAACAGTTAATAACAAAAAAAGATCATTATAAAAATCAACAATATTAAAATTCCATAAACAACAAAACTGTAAATGAAATCAAAGCTGTCCTCACCACAAATTGAGTAATTGATTTCTCTAGTGTTGAAGTATGGATGTCCTCAAATGCATCTTTCAAACTACCGCTTAACTTGCTGATATTTTCGCAGAGACATGTGACAGTAATAAACTCTTCAAGCCCGAAGTAAGTACTTGAGCTTACAATCTCGTAGACCTATAAAAAATTATATAAATTCAAGATTTTGTACAGAATTTAAAAATTAAGGTATGGCCTAAACATAACTTTACTATGAAAAAACCATATACCCTTAGAAAAGGTTGGTATTTTGTCAGAAATATGTTGCAGGTTTATGAGTGGAGGGAAATATATAGCCCTCTTAGAATTTACAAGTTTCAAATATTTTTTTATTGTTTCAGGAGGAATAACATCAAAGATTTTGTTTTTTACTCAAAAGTTTAAAATATTGAACTTTTCAATTTATAATGTTTAAGATTAAGGCACTGCAAAAGTAGCAGGAGTTAGTAAAAAATAAACTTCAGTAAGCCAATATACCAAATTTACTGTATGTTCGCAAATAGCAATCTTTTTATACTTCTCCATCAATTAATAAAAGTGCTAGGTAAAATCATGGACTGGGGGGTGGGAGGTAAGAACCATTTCAGAATCTATTTTAGAAATTTTGATAGTTAAAATGAGGAAGTGAAATGTTCTCTTATATCCCGCTTGTAATCCATCACTAAAAACTCCAAATACATAAAATAAGATAATACGTGGCAAAGACAAGCCAAACCAGTCACTCGCCGCAAATCCTGTATTGGAGATAATGGCAAAAACATGCTGAAATGTCAAAATTTTTGAAATCTATTTTATTGCACTAAACTAACCTTTATATATCTATACATCATGCTATGCTGTTATTTTCCTCATTTTCAATGTTAAAACAACAATTTCTAATGATTTGGTGATGGTATTTGCATAAAAAATGCTTGAATATTGTAAATTTAAAGGCTGATTTCTCAAATGTTGTCCTTAAAACAGCTGTATGGTTAAACTCCTATAGCTTCATAACGAAATGTCAAATTAAAATGATTTTTTTACAATTTTATAGCTCTCATTTTACTCTTTAACCCTGTATTAATAACTAAAAATTGATTCTTGCGACGAGTGACTGGTTTGGCTTGTCTTTGCCACATATACACATTGAAACAATCAAACAAACATACACACAAAATGGTTTGCTCTAACATCAGGGAAAGCAAAAGAGACAATGCAACCCATTGACTGGGACAAATAACACACTCACCGATGTAAGCTTTAAGCATGCACATGAAAAATAGTGAAAAGAAATTGCAGAGTTAAAGTAAATAAAGAGTTCAGAGATTATCTTCATAACTCAATTGCCATGCAACATGTTTATCAATGGCCAGGAAAAATATAGTTTATCTCATCTAACTGGATAGAAGAACATGACAGAGAGAGTGGGATTTATGTTGTTACAGAATGTTGTAGTCACAGAAATATGCTCAGATTTCATATCCATTAGATTACTCAGAAACAGTATTTGAACAATAAATAGAATAAAAAGTGTTATACATTCCAAAACATAGTAAAACATTATGTGATCTTCTAAAATACAGTTTTAAACTTAAGAAAGAAATATTGGGCCCATTTAATATTATCATTTTCATTTAACAGTAAGTGACATGCCCCCAGCCATATAAACAATATATATTCATGGATTCCAAGTTTATACATAATGGAAATAGATATGGCACCATGTTGCTGACACAGTTACATGAAATGATAATCTCAAATTCAGATTTTATATTAGTCCTTGCAGAAACTGATTAGAGGCACAATTGCTCATAGAGAATTAACTGCCTGATAATTGAACGAAAATTAACAATTTAAAGTTACTAGCATCATGACTAATATTTTAAACATGCTGATAATCAGCTCTCTTCACAAAAGAACCCAATCATATTTTGTTAAAATTACATTTAATTAGATAGATTTTTATGTATTTTATCTGGTTTCTGTATGTTACTGTATTTGTTTTTATGAATGAATATAATTGTAGTCTTTTAGAAATGGGCCCAGTGTGATAAAACAGTCCTACTGAACAGTTTCCCCCATATAAAGAATCAAGAAAATAAATAAATAAATTTCTAGCATTCTAATCTGCGTTGAGGGAATTTCATTCTAATAGTGCTAATTGTCATCGTCCTTTCCTTTAATAATCTATGTTGATCAGATTTAATGTTACCAGCAAATTGATCGGATAAAAGCTGATGTCCAAACAAAATGCTACGTGTACAAACATTCAAGTTTGAGTCATGAAAGCTTGAAGCAATTTCTACAGTATACTCTCACCTCTTTGACAAATCTTTCTTGGTATTTTGTTAGCGTTTTAGGCATTGCTGTTTTGAGTTCTTTGAAAGTAATGTGCCTAAAAGTAATAATTAAGATGGTTTTCATCATTTAAAAAGTCTCATTACTACCTTCACATGACAAACATACATGCAAGGTGCTCTACATAAAACAAAGTCTCATTATGCATGTATGTATGTATGTAATGTTTATTGCTGTCAAAAAACAACAGTACATGTACAAATGGTAAAAAAAATTTACATCTTAAATATTACAAATGAATTTTACAAAATAAGCAAAAATGACATAACAGGCTTATGTTGTGGAGTAGATTGTGGTTGTGAGAAATTTCCTACCTTCCAGGATCATGGGATTGGAAGGCAAGCATCTTAACCACCAAACTATTCAACTCCACTTCAAATACATTGATATCAAAAATACACATAGAAAGATAAAATTGCTATATATATATATATATATATCTGGTGAATGGGCCATTAGGCTGAGGTCTAACAGGTGGGCTGCAAGATAGAACCTTTCATTCATTTATTTGGAAAGGTACTGGTGTATCAATTAAAAAAACATGTAAGACTTTCTCGTAAAGATATCATAAAACATACCCATCACTATTTGAGTCTAATTTCTTGAATTGTTCAATCAATTCTTGTTTTCTGGCATCTGAAATGTACAAACTTAAGTCTGTCATCTTAAGGGGGTTGGGGGACACGGATTTCATCTCTATTGAGCTTCTTGGTGGGCAAAGTTTAGACATGTCTTGATCTGAGCTGGTGTACTCGATGTCCATTTCTGAATCAGGCCTGAAATATATTCATCAAACAAACATTACTTATAAAAAAGTATAATGTCTCCATTTACAATGGTAATACCCAAAATATATATATATATATGCTGTTACATGTGATACAGGTGAAGAAATAATAAAATTCACTGCTTATCTATAATAATACCTGTCTTGTTCATCATTAAGTGGTGCTGGGTCATTGTCATCTTGAGTTCTCTCATTTGTTTCCATGTGCTGATCAGCTTCTGGGAACATTTCAAACCTAAGAACACAAAAGGAAATACTCAAAGACAAAATTATACAACAAAATTCAATTAAAGTTCGAAAAAAACATATTTTTCCCATTGGATTGGACCAATCAACATTAAGTAGCTTTACTAATGAGCTCCAAGGCCAAGTTGGTATACTCCTATCATGGAGAAAACATAGAACATGTTCTATTTTCTCTATGCTCCTATTAAGTGTTAGCGGTTTTGACCTTGAGGTCAGGGGTTAAATCTTTCATGGTACATTATGTTTGTATCCACCCAGGAGTGTGAATGCTACCTTGCAGGATGTTATGTCATTTTATGCACTGCAGCACGATAATGTATACTCTCAGGGAACAGAGAGTAGCACTTTGTTTAAGTATCCAATTAATGGTAATAAATAGCCACAGACCCTATCAAAATACAACCTTTGACATCACTGATGAAATTCATCAAATACCTTTCACTTATAACAGCTGTAGCCCTGTCTCTTATGGGCATGACGGTACATAATAGCTCTCAAAGAATTTTGTCCTATAAATACATTGTGTAATGAAATGCTTCCAACTTTTTTTAAGTGATTCTTCAGATTCATATAACTTACTCTACAGGTTTTTCTAAAGCAGTTTCATTAGCTTCCTGATATTCTGCTGTGTTTTTCTTAAAAGTTCCTTCTTCCTTTTCTTTACTAACTTTTTCTTTTACTTGAAAATTAGATTTTTCTTTCCGAACCAGTTTTGTATCACTTGTGTCTCTTGGTTTACTATTCGCCTTGTTTTTAGGAGTGTTTGATTTTCGTCGAACCTTCACAGCCGGTTGATGATGCTTTTTCTGCTCTTCAGAGGAGCTGATCGCAGAAGGTGCTTGCTCTGAGAGATTCGATGCTTGCCGGATTGCTACTACAGGCTGCATCTGAATGGGTGGAGCTGAATATGTTGCTTTACATTCACTGTCTAATCTTGCCTCCCATTGTTCACGCTTGCGATGACTAGTATGGGTTCTAATATCAAAAAAAATTATGTAACCATATATAAATCTTTAATTAAAGATTATAACTCTGAAATATTTCATCTACACAAGCTGTCTTGATTCAAATTTAAAACTTTAATTTAAAAATGATTAGAGAAAGTGAACAAATAAATTGTGAAATATTGAATGCTTTTATCAAACCTACGGTGGAAGATGAATTCCTTTGCCTGTCAGTAACTCCTGAGAGTGTGCTGGGAGGGGTAAGTGCCGAAGCTTCTGCATATCAGAGTTGTAGTTGTCCCTGAGTAAAAAAGAAACTCAAATCATTATATGAAATTTAAAACAGAATTTTACATTAAAAATCTATCTGTTCATATTATATTGATTTTGGCCAAGATATCGAAGCTGTGCAAAACAGAAGTGCGAGATTTGTCTTGAGTGACTACAGTAGATTCAGTAGCGTCACTGCTATGAAGAAAGAATTAAAATGGGATTCCTTGCATTTAAGGAGATCCGTAAATAGAATGACCATTTTGCAGCAAGCTTTATTTAATCGCCTTACCATTCCATTACAAGTGCACTTGTGTCCTGTCACGTACTTCTCTAGACATTGTACATATTCCGAGGTTAATGCCCAAAAGGACTGTTATAGATTTTCCTTCATACCAAGAACTCTACGAGACTGGAATCAAATCCCGAATGAAATTGCATCAATAGAAGACAAAGAAAGGTTCAAGATTGCTATATCCGACCACCTAAGGAATACAGCTAAGTTACAGCGCCACCACCCCTTCTCGCTTTGCTCCTTTTAGGGGCGTTGAGTACAAATCCAGATTCAGATCCAGAAGACAAAGAATATGACGCTTATTATGTACTGTAGTAGGTTTTTAAATGCATGGTCAGTCTAATCGTGAATACATTGTGTTAAAATTTCAGCGAAGATTTAACCAAGTCGTACTGTTTGCATTGAACGTTTCTACCTTTTTTATTTTTATATATTCATTTTTATATATTTCTGTTTATAAGTTTTTACATATGTTTGGCAATGTTAACAATTGGGTTGAAGCACGTCCACTTATAACATCTGTTTGGTTTTAAATGAATTTCTCTTATTTTTAATGGACAATGAAAGCTATCTTGAATCTTGGAAAAAGTCTGGTTATGTTTGCTGGGGGCAACATTTGAAAAAAGGAAAATTGTATAAAGGTTGTTTGCTGGATATTTAACCAATAAATTCCCATATTTAGTCAATTATAAACTTTTTACTCTATTCCTTAATAATCTAACATTTTCCACATACTGCTCATATTAATAAAATACAACCTTTGACATCACTAATGAAATTCATCAAATACCTTTCACTTATAACAGCTGTAGCCCCACCTATCTGAAGCTCATCTCGTTTTTTCCGATGATATGGTTCAAGTTTTCGCTTTTCACTTCTAAACTTTTCCAATTGCTCTTCCCAATCTACAAACTTTTCTGGAAAACTTTTAGACCTGACATTTGAGAAGAAATTGTAGTTATTATGCAAATTAAGCCAATATGCAAATGATTATATATATGTATTCACCCGTCATTGTCTGCCAACTTGCCAATTTAATTATTTAAAAATAAATCCTAGACCACTCCCCCCCCCCCACCTTCCAAATATATTAAACAAATGAGGTTCACCTGTATATATAAATATGTAAATTGCAATAGTAGCAACTGAAATGTAAATGAGTTTCATCTTACGATATGCATTTCTCGGTACTATCCTTGCTCTCCTTAACACCCTCTTCCCACAGAAATCTTTGCCCGTGTAGTGGAACTTGTTTTTGTTTCACGACAACGTTTGCTGACCTAAGCCCTGTAAACATGTCACGGTTGCGCTTTGACAGTGGTACCATTTTTATCTTTGAACAAGATCTGGAAGAAAAAAATTAGACTTTGTTTTTATTTTTTTTTTCCCATTTTATTTAATTTTAAACTAGTATTTCTTATCTTAGTATAGCATCAGGTAACACTGTAATGTGTAAGTTCAAAACAATTATTATTACAGTATCATTATTATTATTACAGTATCATTATTACCAGTATAAACATTTTATATTGGTAATAATGATATTATTAAAGTATCATTATTACCAATATAAAATGTTTTTTGGTAATAATGATACTGTATTAATAATATTAAACATGCTGTTACTGCCCCATTTACCAGTAAACCCTTTAAAAGGGCATTTTGGCACTTTGGCGGGTTAGTGAACCAATTTTTGTGGGAGTCTTATCTGACTAATTCAATTAAACATCAATGAAGAATATCTCTACTTAAGAGTCATTATCACAGTAGGCATTGCTGTTTGTCAATAAATTATACCAGTATAGTATTTAAAAACCAGACAGGAAAATTTTAAAAACCTGTTGTTCATAAATGTTAGGCAATTTTATTACCTTACTTGTAATTAAAGATAGAAATCATAATAGATATTTTTTTGAATTTTAAAAATCAAGGACTTATGTTATTAGTCAAAGTTTTTTATTTTAATTGTGCTAGTCTTTCTATAAACTATTAACAACTAATTAGCTTCACTGTTAATCTTGTCACAAAACTCTCTGAAGTAGTTATTAATGGAGATAAGAAGAGATCGGCAAAACCAGGTTCAAAAATTGAAAATTTGGTAAACGTGGAAGTTTCCTCATGAGTATCATTATTACCAGTATAAACATTTTATATACTAATTGATGGTTGTCAAAAGCACAAAAGTATACACAGATAGATATACTAACATTGATAGTTATAACAACATACCTAGACAAAAAAAATTATGCAAATACATTTTGGAATGGTGCTATAATATCCTACCACTGACTGATTTCAGCAGCATTTATTTTACCTGAAATTTTGGACTTGGTATGGCATGTGGGTGATAACCTGATTCTTCTTAGACAGTGCAAATTGATCTCCGCTATGTCCCTTTGGTGAGAGTGTATTTTTGAGATTCGAAGGAACCTGAAATATAAGATTGTTAGAACATTAGGTGGAGGAGGTGCACCACCAAAAAGAAAGAGCTTGGTCTGCTTCCTTCCACCTTAAATACATGGATGTGTTACAGTACATACAAACCAAAACAAATTCTATAGCTTAGAGCCAATATTTATTTATTTATTTATTCAACTGAACATACACTTTTGTTTCAGTGGCACACAACATTTCAGTGCGTTCAATGAGCATTTTGATGTAAATGGAATACATTAATTATGGCTGTCAAAAAAAATCACAAATTACCCTTGGGAGAGATGGTATCAATGCATTGTTTTCCTTTGGCTCATAATTTTTTGCTGTCCTTTCGTTTATTTTTGGTAACTCAAAAAAGGTCTTTTCATTTGGATCAAAGCTCTTCGTTGGTGATGCCCCTGCATTTGTGATTATGGGAAAGACTTGCTTATTGGGATCAGTTAGTTGTCCCGTACTGGTCTGCGTCATAGTGATGCATTAATGACGAGTTACAAGAGCCACCCTTTTGAAATGTCTGCTCCTTGTGACATTATTGTTATAACATGCCAGTGTCCATTCGTAAAGTACAGTATCCAAATTGTCACTGCATATCCATCTAAAAATTAAAAAATAAGGAAATTAGCTTGGGAGGGAGCTATGAAAAATTGCAAAATTCAAATAAAATAAATACTGTAGAAGGTTTTCTAATGGATACAACATTAGTTGCTACTATTTCCAAAGTCCTTTGTCCCAAGGAGATGTCACGTTAAGATTAGATTGGACCAAAATAAGTCAGGGAGACCAGGTTTGACATCCAGACTAAGTTTGGCCGCCAATGCAAGGGCGGTGCCAGGAATTCCCTGACGAGGGGTCCAAACTCCCCGACAAGGGTCCACACCCCTGTCGGGAAGAATTAAATTTGTCGGAGAATTTTTGTATTGAAAAATAATATTAGTTTGTGTTACTTATGGAATTCTTGGAATAATTTGATAGAAAATCATGCAGCAAGTTAAGTGTTCACATGTCGGGGGTACTAGTCCCCCTGTTGGGGCGTACTTAACCCCTTGTCAGAGGTACCAATCTTAAAAACTCAAAAACACCTTGCAAATTTATTAATAAATTGTGTTCACAGCTGGGGACATCTCTCTCTGATGGCAGACCCTGGCCCCACAGCTCCCACTGGCGTATGCTCTGGGCAAAACAAAAATGACCGGGACCCTGATTATCAATATTAGATTACTATAGAAAAATCACTAAAATCATCAAACAGGTTCTTCTTCTAAAACGTATTGTTACAATAAAATATAGAGGATTTCTTGTATTATTAGAGGACATAAAGTACAGTAGAAAACCTATATAACGAAACACCTTGACTTATAACAAAGGAAGTAATAAATATACCCCTGGCCTAGTAACAAAACACTTTAAAAATATAGTACAGTACTTACTTAAATATTATTAATGAGTGTTACACAACTCAGAAACCTGTGAATTCTACCAGGTTATACAATGTAGATGAATGGATGAAAGTAGTTTGTGGGTGGTGTTAATACTGTCTCAAAAGGGGCAAGTATTTACTAGCATCGCGTTCGCTCTGCAAGTTTCTTAGTGGGCGATCGAAGGTGTCTTGTATTACCCTTTTATGCGGTTTCTTAGCAACAATAAACAACTTTTTGTCCAGCCTTGGTAAGCTAATCGCATTGTTTACGTCTCTGACGTGGTGTATGTTATGCCACCATCTCCCTGAGTGTGTACAGACACACTCTTTCTCAATAACTGGATGATTCTTATAAAATTCAATAAATAACATCCAGAAAGTTAGTTTGCTTACCGTCGTCTTCGCTCAGTCAGCGCTCGAGTGTCCTAATACGTCCGTGACGCCCCGAGAACTGATGGCGTTGTTTTCTTATCAGATGACCCATTTTGATAATTTCAGTAGCCTATACATTGCTTTAGTGGACGGATCGATAAGAAAACTCGACCAAACCACTTTAAAAATTATTTTAAAAAGTATCAAAAAATATCTCCCTTCAAAAAGACTATAAAACAATAGGCCTATCACAAAAATATCACAGTCTTTTAACTCTTTCCCGGATCTGGGATACAGACCTATTGCCAAAAGAAAAGACGAACACATTTTCAATTTAAAACTCAAAAACCATTTTGTTGAGAACTGAAAAGTATGAAACCAAATTTTAATCATAAAGTTCAACTAGATTACCAATATACAAATTATTTTAACATGAACCAACAATTAATTATTTTACCTTTAAGTTTCCTATGTATATTATTTTGTTTCTAGCAGCACTAAAGAGCCCAGACATGCTTAAGAGCCACATTAAGCAATCCCGTCTCTTGTTGGCTAACATATTTTTTTTTCTTCTTTTTTCATTTCTTATTGTTGTATGTCTGTTTCATGTGTTGAATTGAAGACAAAATGATATGATAGGCCTAGGCCAATGCCAAAAATTGTGAAATACCTTAATGTTATCAAGAGACGCAGGGTTGCCATCATAAATCTTAATATCCTACTCCTACAATTCGATTCCAAGGGTACCGGTAACCCCTAATCATTCCATTCATTATTATATATATATTACGATTTCAAATACGATTTCCAAGAGCATAGAACAAGGTATTTGATGTCGAATAACTAGACCAAGTAGGGGCAGATTTAGCGCCCCCTCCCACTTTTGTAAGGTTAAAAAAGGAGGGAAAAAAGAAAGAAACAAAGAAATCATCGCCCAAAACGCCTCAGAGGCTATATTCGGGCGTTAGACAAAAACTTTGCGCCGGGTATGCCCCCGGACTCCCTAGGGTAGTATTATCTAGATCGGCCCCACTTTCGGCTCCCCTTTCGTTTCTCCTTCCCCCACCCCCTTTTTTTTAAATTTTTTTTTTGGACATCTCTGATCCGCCCCTGCCAAGTTGTATAGAAAATCGAAGTGTCGAATATTCGGTGAAGCATTACATACAATTTTAAACAAAGACCTATAATGGGAATGGTCGACCCAAGTCGAGGTTTTCTATCAAATTAACACGGCGGCGCGAACTGTCAGATCGTCAAAATACGCAGTTAGGCCGATTCTTTTTTATGAAGAGATGATTCAATACATGGGATAAACCGTATTTTCTTTTGGCTTTTTCGATCTTGACCTGGTGTTTCATTGTTTTTATATAGGCCTATGTATTGTTTATCAATATCAGACCTTTTCGAGTAAAATATAATCAGTTCAAGTCTGATTACGGCATATTCAAGACGGGGGAGGGCTTCCCCCTCACTTTCAGAATTATAAAACATGGAGAAAAAAAGTACTATTAACCAAATATTAGGTCTGTGCCATTGCGGCCATCTAGAGTGCCCCATATTCATAAATTGTCTCACCTCCCCAACCATGGTGTGGTCTGGACTGTGAATCCCTCCAGGACCCAGGTCCTACATTTAGCTCTGTCTATTTCGATTCCTTGGATCCGCCACTGATGAAGAACCTATTTTCACACTCACATAAAGAGCTGATATAGGCCTAGTCGTTGAACGAGTCTCAACGTATGTACTGATAACAGAATAACTGGGATCAATATTTTACTAAGTACAGTATACTGTATATCTTATATCATTGTAATTTTACATAGGGGATGATCGAATCATGCAAAGCTCAAGTTACTCCTCAATTGGTTGTATGAAGAATTTTGTTTCTTAAAATATTTGTCAAATGAAGAATTATTATTATCCAGAATTTATTATATAATTGAAATGAAATGAAACTTAAATAGTCTTATACAAAATATTCACTAATATTAATAATTCTGTATGTACGTTAGGCCTACTAATGTGTTGTGATAGCCGTATAAGGTAATCCCACTTTCGTATGGTTTAATAAACATAACAATCTTCATATTATGGTCCCACACATTTGACATTATTTAGTAGTCCCTCAAGATTAAACATAATTATTCCAACCTTATTTTTTTTTCTTCTATTTCTTCTACTTTTAGGGGCCTCATATATTAGAAATTGATTCAACACAACATTGGCGCGTTCAGAGAGAAAGGATTATTAGAATTCCCACGGAATACTTCGCGTGTTCAATTCTATGACTATGATTATAAAATGGAATGATCCAATCTGATTGGCCAGTCAGATTCTAGGTTGCCTGATAACCATTCCCATTCATACAAAGCATGATCATCACATAGCGGTAAACATAGTGCACCGTTACAACAATTGTTGAGCGTGCTCGATCGTGAAATTAAGAGACAAATTATTCTTCACATCTTCTAAACAGACGTTCTATTGAAATCTGAACCAAAAATTTGAGGTACAGTATGCCTTAATACCGTCATTTAACTTTAATTTTTTTATTTGTCATTTATTAATGAAGTAATATGGTAGATATAATTGAATGTGACCGATGTACCGGTAGCGTCGGTAGTCAGCGTACGTTGCATCACATCTCGATCTTTTTGTATGGTGGCAGTCGGGTTTACCCATCTGACAGTTGCCTACAGTCAATACTACTTGCTAAGCTCCATAGCCTAGGCCTAAATTGATCTTATTTTAGTAGTAGTTGTCCTTACAGATTATACATAGATAGACACATGTCCACGGTTGTTGGCATACATTACTACTACCATTACAGCTGCAACATTATGGAATTCCCCTATGGGGCCTGAGTGTGTGTTCCATATGTGCTTGATCCAGTGATCCGGGGTTTTTATGTTCAGCGCATAGAGAAGTTTGATATGCGCTATATAAGTATACAATAATAATAATAATAATAATAATTTGATTAGACCTAGCCTAGGCCAATTTGGCTCAAAAACAGAATCATCATGCATTGCTAGATAGATCAGATTCAGCCAACAGCTTGCCAAGAAGAAGGCATGCATACGCCGTATGATACGGTATACCACACCAGCTATTTATTAACCGGTTGTATTATTTACTTGTGTTGGTAATTTTATTACTGTATTACATGTTAAAACTAACAGTTGACATGATTTGAACTTCTAATCCAAAGGAAATCATGCTTTCAATATACTGTCTGTAATACCTAGACTAGCATAGATATAATTTTTAAATGATTATACATTATTTATATTTTATACTTTATAGTGATAACTTTATTGATTGACATGGTTAGGAAAATGTTTTAAATTAAGGTACAAAATTGCTGCAGGAACAATAATAATCTATTATTTTGTTAACTATGTTTTTGTTGTGGAGAGATGGATAAGAATGTAAGTATTGTAATCATTGTCCTATTTTTTTTTACCAGGAAGGGGAAAGATTTGATTTGATTTGAATTTATTCAGAAGCACTGAACACAAATAAACATTACAATAGAAAAACATGAATTAAAATGTCTTCCTTGTTTAACCCCAAAAAATGCTGGTAAATATCATTCCGGCTTATTTCCATTGGGGTCCATTAAATACACTCACGTACAATAAAAACATTAAATTGGTAAAACAATAAAACATACAAAATGTACAGTCATATGCATACAAAATGATTCCTATTAAATTTCAAGGACAATATTTCAAATTCTTAAAATACTGTAAGTTAAAATCAATTCTTTCATTCATTCATGAGGCCTAACTAGATATACCTTAACTTCAATTTAAAAATCTTTCTTGTTAAAAATGTTTTTTAAAAAGTGTGATAAAAGGTTCCATTGTTGTGCAGCTGTGTAGAAGAATGTATCTTTGACATGTGTCTGATTTAGGCAGGTACTATAGATTGTATGAGAGTTTCTTCTTGTGATATTTTGAATGGTGGATGTCAGATAACAGCTTTGCCAATACAAAAATTTAAGTTGTACATAAATTTTGGTTCTACTACCATGGTTTCACCACAAAGATCTTTATTCATGTAACAACTGTATTTAACAATATGCTTCCAATATAGCTCTTTACCCATACAATATACTTTAAAATCTTCAACATTTTAAACTTTTATCTTTGTGCCAAAAAATTGCCTAATTTTTATCCACGTGTAGAGAGAGTTCATTATTTATTAACCAACTGTTACATGAATCATGCATGAATCAATGTTGCTACTTAAACAATTAGCAATGTTTTCTGGGCTTTTTACCAGAAACAATGGTCACCTAAAGGGAGTAGGAAGAATGAGAAGGGGTTTTACAGTAGACATAGTTATTAATAGTTACTTAATGTACTGAGAGAGGAGAGAAAGAGACATATCAGTATGTGCAATTTTACATGCATAACAACATGTACAATCAATTTTCAGTAGAAAACAAAAATGATGGTACATGACCATGAATTAAAGCCTTGACAGTTATTTTTAAAACAATGTTCTATATCTCTCATGTTTGGTGCTGTTACCCCTGTTTCTTGCAAAATTATATCATGCAAACTTTCCTCAATAATAATTAATGCATTAGTTTTGCTAGGCATAGCTTTAGTTTCTTTCATATTAATTTACTGACTATAAATCATTTGTAGAAAATTACTATTTATCTACTGTACTTCCTGTTTGTAAGTGGGTGGTGAACAGGTTGGAAGCAAAATTACTGAAGAATGCCATAAACAACACAATACTACTGATACTGTGGTCAGCAAAGTATAACAAGGGATATTTCCCTCCAGAAAAAAACATTTACAAAGCTGTAATATTTATCGGTGGATGAAACTGCACAAAACTCAACCATCAGGCTACTCCTTTATATAATTAAAGTATTTGTAAAGAGTGTTTTAAAAAGAAAAATATTACCATATTTATAGGACTTGTATATAATATTATAACATATTCCGCTAAATTGCAAGCTTTTCACAGCAATTTCTTCATGCAGTAGTAATATGATAAATTCTGATTAATTATAGAAGACATGATCACATAGAAAGTAGAAGGCTTAGCGTAGGAATCATAATATATAGACAGCCAATACTGTCAATATGTATTCTCAGGCTAAGATACGGCTTTAAGTTTAAGTCATTTTCTTCAGGTGAATGCAGACTGATGACCTTCCTGATTGTAACAGTCTAAATGCAACTTATATTATCAACATTTGTATTTTATAGAATTTACTCTTTTGCTATCGCAAAAGTTTTCTGGTAAAAGTTTTATGGTAAAAGCCCAGAAAACATTGCAAATTGTTTAAGTAGCAACATTGATTCATGCATGATTCATGTAACACTTGGTTAATAAATAATGAACTCTCTCTACACGTGGATAAAAATTAGGCAATTTTTTTTAAAGTACTGGTCGTACACACAATTTTTATTTTGTAACACTGATTTCTGCATATTATTATTAAACATGTCGGAATAAGAGATTATATTTATTGGTCAACGTGTACAACTTGGTTCACATGAAATTTAGTTTCCACTTCCAGATGATTTTACAGATACATTAAAAATACAAATAAAATGTTAAATTACAACACATAACATGTTATATAACATACAAATACCCGAATATTTTGATGATTGATAGGTTGTACAACAGAAGAAATGTCCTTATTGAAGGATTCTCCAAATCAAATAAATTTGAAGAAAATAGGAAATTTCTCTTTAGGCTGCTTTTATTGTGCTTTCCTGGCAGCTAATGATTATGGTCTACTTAATGTACTTGTTAATGTTATGTTCGTTTGATTTTTTTTTAATGATAAATTGTATTATATTTTGTATTGTATCTTCTGCCTGAATGAATAATAAAATAATAATAATAATGTACAGAATTGTACAGAATGCCAAAATGCCATATGTACTTAAATTTTAAATGAATTTGGAAAAAATGACAAAAGGTATTTTATCGTTCTAAACCTAACTTGAACAATTGTCATTTTTTGCAACATATTGTTCATAACGTACTGTATTCAATGAAAGTTAGATTCTAAAACTGACAGAGTATCCTACTGATCTATTCATATGATCCTGATTAAAAACAATTCAAGTTCAGTTTTAGCTAAAATTTATAAAATGGAGTCAATTGAAAAATTAAATAAAAATGGCCATGAAGTTATTGATTCATTATTGATTGATTTCTATGTTCCATACTAACTAATTTAAATTCAATTAGTATGTTCCATACTAACTAATTGAATTTAAATTAGGTTTCTTTAAACAATGTATAGGCTAGCACACATCCAATATAAAACAATGCTTAAGATGCCTATATGTTTTTAGGTGAGAAAATTGTTTGATACAGGCCTGGCCTGAGAAATGAAAATGGGACATTAAACAGACAAATAACTTGATGTAAACAAAATAGTTTAAAATTTTCACTTTGAAAAGTATATCAGATTTTGTGCAATTACAGGTAAGTATAGAACTCAAGAAGATTAAACTTAATAGGTTTACATCTTAAAGGGATTTTCAGTAATGATAATAGAATACATTCTGGTAAATTATCAAGCTATTTAATTATAGATTCCATCAAAGAACTATCCTAATGCATTTCTTATTAAACTTGAAGTACTCCACAAACTCCCGACAATTTAATCAGGCTTGGCTAATGTATAGTAACCCTCCGTGGCTCTAATTAAGAGTACCACAAGGATGGGAATTATCAGCCAAAATTTCAGAAATTATTGATCTGATTACATGCATTTTTGTAGACGCATGTATATTTGATGGCCTTCACGGAAGAAGAGAAATGTATTGATTGTTTATGGAAAGGAGATATTCAAACAAGTTATTGATAACATGATGATAAGTTAATTGGTAAACTTTCTATCTCGAGTAGTCAATGACGTCAGTCTTCACCAATTACACACGTCACATGACTCTGTCGAACATCTCCGTGCTATTATCAAGTCACTGTCAAGACGCCTTAAATTTTCTAACTTGTAATATGTTTTTTTAATCATTTAAGATCCATAGCCTCATTAATTTTTGTCGTAAACTAGTAGACCCACATGAGTGTGTGATTTCTAATTTAAGGTGAGCCATTCCACCTCTCTCCCCACCCCCACCACCCTCATCACTTCAGCTATGTGCATTGAAAATGCCAAAGCTTTTTCCAGACTATAACATTTTCTTCAACAAAAAACTGTTGTATATCCATATAAAGTATAGTCATGATGTGCCTCTGTGGTCATGATGTGATGTCATCATGACCATATTTAGGCATATCACATGTTTTTGTCAAACAAAATTTAATAGTCTGGACAGGGTATAAAAATTAAAAGGTGGAAACATCCCAGGTTCACGCACTTTGTTAATTGGCGGTGATGAAACCAATGCGTCAGTATTTGTCAATAAGTGCCAAGTCTTTTCAGAAGACTGCTAATGGAACAGAAGTAAACTATAATAATGGCTAATGCTTTAAAAATAATATCATTGATCATTTATTCCATATTAGTACTTCTGATGAACAATATACAGTAATGCAAATGTCTAAATGCCTTACTGTGAATAAACACCACCTCAAATACTGTAAACCCTCTCCAGAACGTCATTTGATGTAAACGCCGCTCTAAAAAGTGCCATTTATTTCCTGAAATGTGCGCCTGCAAATGACTGCAAACAAAACCACAGTAGTAATAATGGAAACCTCCATTCTAGCATCAGTGTTTTCTATAGTAGAATTAGAATAAGTAACTGTTAACGGTCATGATCATGTATCATGACAATTATTAATTTGTCTTGTCCCCTATACTGTATTTCCAGGCATTTTTCTTTATTGTATTATGTATGTAGTATCACAGGTAGTATGTATGTAGTATCACAGATAGTATGTATGTAAAATAGGAATGGCTTCCTAGAGAAATGGCTTCCTTGAATATATATAAACTCACCATGGCATTGAACAACCAATGACTACTAAACAATACTTATGTCAAAACAGATTTTTACTGTAGGTTGTGATAGAAATGCAGTTTTTGTAAATTTTAGAAAATTGCACTTATGAAGTCCTTATTGCAAATATATTACTGATATAATGCGGAAGTTTTACGAAGACATACGGTACTGTGCATATCTATATAATAATTATACATATTTACAGGTATCGTGTGTCAGCAAAGTGCGGGTAGGCAAATCCACCGTCCTAAAGTATATAGACAGTGACATAATTATACTGGCACCTATCTTTCATTCTGTACGATCCTGAAGAAGACAGTGGAGGACAACTATTTTGCTACTACCACTAGGAATGGGAGAAATTGGGTAAGTTATATTTTAGTGCATACCATTTTTGTAAGTTGTTCCTAATAAAAAATAAAACACAAATTTAAAAAAAAAAGAAATGAATGAGTTGTTAACTACAGTAACTTCCTATACATTAATAATTCATTATTATTTTACTATTATTTTCTCTAAATTACTCTAATAACCGTCCTTGATATCTTTTATCGACAGCGCAATAATGTTTAATTTATTTTCCAAGGAGAATCTGGATTTGAAGAATTTTCATAATGAGATTATGATTGGACTGAATGTGAATATTTACTGTATATTTATCATCATAGATTGTACAATTTAATATTTTTGGATGGAAAGAGTAGAATAGGTCGTATTTGAATAATCAATTAAAAAATACTTTGTTTTAACAAAAATTGGTTTGAAAAAATTATCAATATAGTTTATCAAGATGAAGAATTGTCATCGCCTTTTTAATCTAAAATAACAAATTTTTATAACCTTTTTATTGTAATTAAATCTTATCAATGCATGTTTTTCTTTCAACTGCTCAAGGGTTGTTGTTATTGTCAACATATTAATTAAGGATTGCTGTGATTATGAAATTGTTAGACTGTAATTTGTGACTAATTAGCAAAGATTAATTATGGTGTCACTTTAATTGTGACAGTCACAGTACTGGGTTACTTGATAAAATGAGAGTTGTGATGTCGATGTCGAATCCAATTTCCATTTGTAACTAACAGTCTATGAACTTTACAAATGAACTGATTTATGCTTGATATTTTCTTAAATTTCAATTACTTTCTGTAATCATAATTGGATAGTGGTTAAATCATATACAGGGGTATTTTCAGGCCAGTTGGATTCTGGTGGCATACCATTTACATAGGCCTACTGTACAAAGCCCAAAAAGCCAATTCAAACCAACCTCTAGAGAGCATTTGGAGTGGACTGGCTCAGATTATCAACCAGTAATTTTTTCCTTATCTCGTATCTTAAAGAAACTGGCTTGGGCTGGTTTAAAGCAAGATATATTTACCAGCATAATGATGTACAGTTCACCTACATGATACATTTTTATCTACAGTACTCTTGTTCGTTGATAAAATGTATTTTCCAATTAAAATAAATTGGACAATGTTTGTAGTTACTACCATTGCACTCTACTTATATTCTCTTTCCTTGCTACTGCTAGATGTCACAGTGCTGCATCTTCAGACTCAACACCAGCTTCCACGGAGGCAAAGAAAACATCGTTGATTAGCATTTCTAGATCACTGTATGTTCTTCTGCTAGTCCCATAATTTGTGTTGTTTAATTAATTATAACTTGTTGTTTTTGGTGTTAATCTATTATAAAAACTACAGTTGTTGTGTTGGTGTTGTAATCCTTTTGATTAGTTTTTTTATATTACTGTAGTTGACAGATTATTTCCCATTCCTTTTAACAACAGTACTTTGATTTTTTTGTAGGTTCATACTATTAGATTTTAAATAGTATATTATTGTTCATTTTGTACATTCCTTCATTGCTATGAAATATTTTCCTACTTTGATTTATCATTTTTGCTATACATACTTTATTCTACGAGTGACCCCGGTGCATGAGAGTATAGGCTTACTGTACAGTACCATATTATATTATTTTTTATGTTTATGAGTTACAGTATACTGTATGTACAGTAAGAGGTAAAACTTGAATTCGTATTACTGTATTGTACACATGAACTTGATTAGGATAATATTTTCAATTATCTTAAAAATAGTATGAGTTTAATAAAATATATATTGCACAAGTAATTGCAAACGAGGAATATTGTTTAGTGATGAAAACAATGAAAATGATGGTAAATAGAAATTTTTATGTAAAAAAATTAATCAAGAAAATTTGTTGGCAGTAGGCCCGTCATGCCAAAATTGGTCCGGGCCAAAAAATGTCCGGCGGACAGATTTTGGCCGCCAAAATCGGTCCTCTGGGTTGATTTTAGCTGCTAAAACTGGTCCCGCTTGGTTAAAATTGGACCACGTCAGACAGAATGATTCGTATTAAGCTTTTGAGGACGTGTTTTATCAAACCCATGTGATAATGCATTTTTTAGGCGATACACACAGCATGCATCATTTCGGCGGCCATGGTTACAGGTAGGCCTAGGTTTGGGCCAAAAATGAAACACAAGACTGATTTATTAGTGTTAAATATTCCGGATTATTGTGTGTGGTATTATATCCTACATTAGATGTTCTAATACATGAAATAAAGGGGTAAAATTCTTGAATTAAATGCATGTACTTCATCGCGACGAAGCACACATAGCCAAAACAAAACAAGGTAAAAAAATAAACTAAGGCGGACCAACATAATTTAAGACCACATCATTTAACTTAATTTCACCTATAATTTCACACATAACAAATGAAAAAATATACTGTATATAATGAGAGGTAAGATATTTATCTATAAAAAAAATATATATATAACTAACATTATAAAAATACAAGTTCTAACTACAAATAGACGCCAGACCGATTCTGGCTTTCGTGGACTACATTTGGCAGGTAGTTTTAGAGCCAAAATCGATCTGGCGGACCGACTTTGGCCCCGGACCAAATTTTTCCTGACAGGCCTACTATATTTGATGATGTTACGACCACTAATGCAGCGCCTAACAACAATGTTCCTGGTACTTACTGTATGATACCGTATGACATGTCGTTTAATCTCTTAAAAGTTATAAAATTTAAACACTTCAAAAACCTACTTTATGCTGGTTGATTAAGATCGAGGAATGCCGTACCAAAGCTGTAAATCTACAGGCTCTCAAAAGTTAAATAAAATTTCTATACCTGTACACTTTATTTCATTCCTTTACATACGTACTGTAACAGTATTTAAAAATGTAAGGAATACTAATACTGTATACAACTATATTTTTAATTGATTGCTAGTTTTTCTTTCTTTTCTTTAATGGATTTTGAATTATTTTCAGATTAACGTTTTACTTTGGTTTGATTTTTATATGTTGCTTTTCATTTTGGCTTCATAATACAGAGCAGTTAAATATTTACATTCACATGAACAATTTATTTATTTTATTTATTTATTCAAAAACATTTTGAAATTGGATTGGATTTATTCGGTGTAAACACCAAGAATAGCCCACGAAAGTCTAGAAGAAGATTTACAGTATTTCCAGTGGGGTCCTTCTGGTGGTGAATTGTCTGAATTGAGAAGATTAAATAAAATTTGTCACAAATATTTCAACAACAGAAACGTCAAAAGCAACTTTCGCTTAAATCACTATGTTTTACTTATCTTCAACTTTGATCTTACATTTCAAATCTTTATTAGTATTACCGTGACCGCTACTACACACCCGAGTCACTGTATTATGTAGCAAGTATTTTGTCAGTTTGTATGCAGATCATGTCAGCACGCATGCAGTATGCTGACCGTACGTCAGCCTCTGCACGCAAATCCTAACGTTCACACATTGATCATCAATTATGCTGCTGTTTTTATAATTTCTCACGTCTAAACTATCAGGTTAAATTAAATAGACAAATCTTTGTTAATTAAATATGAAGTTTCATCATTATTTTTTTAAATTTGTTAAAACCTAATCTTGTTTGCACCATTTCAAACTAACATATATTATTTACTTTAGTTACTAAGAATATGCAAACACAAATCATTAACAAATTCAACAATGTTTTACAGAGTGGGCGCCAAGTGCATTAACGGTGCTGTTGCTGGCGTGGTAGGCGTAACCTGTATTTTCCCAATTGATTTAGTCAAAACTCGTCTTCAAAACCAACAAAGTGCGCGTGGAAGTCGTCTGTACAACAGCCTGTAAGTATATTATTTTGTACACAAACATGAAATGAAATACCCTATTCCATATGGAAAATTTTGTTGTGTGTGAGCATTGCTATTTGTAAAAGCTACTTCTTTGGAAAACTATACGAAATGATAAATACCCTTGAGAAAATGACAGCTAATTTATTTTTGGTTTAGAAGACATGAATAATTTATAAAGTTCATCCGTAACAATCTCCCTGAAGATTATATTTAAATTGTAAAATTTATCATTGTAGAGACTAGAAGTCTTTCAGTAGTGCTGTAATGTGAAAAATTCCCTTTTATTTAATGAATTATAAATGTCACAATTTTAATCAGTTGACTTAGTGTCTATGTGGTTGTAGTTATTAGGTTTTCATTATAGCCATGATATATAATTCACATACCACACAAGTAAAAATATACTGTATCTAAATTGCAGCTTTTTCTATCCTGAAAGCAATAATCCAAACACAAAATTCTACATTAATTCTTCCTTATTTATAGAATGCTTTATATAAAACCTGTAATGTTTCAATGCTTTATAACTTTCCTTTTAATTAAAAAAGAAAGCTAAAATAAAATGCACAATAATGTGAGGCCTAAAATGCAGTACCAATTTATTGATTTCCCTCTTTTTTTTTTATAACTACAGAATCGATTGTTTCATAAAAACCTTAAGACAAGAAGGATTTCGTGGGCTTTACAAAGGTGAGTTTTCTACAAATCTCTGTTCAATTGGGTTTTTATTGTTGTATTAACTTGGCACAAATTGGGACTCTATCACTAAATGTTATGCAGTGTCTATTATTTCTTTCATTGTATCTAATTTTATATAAAGCACTTGTTCTTGGGATTAATAATAAGCCAGTATATACAGTATTAATTATAGTGACCTATTTCAAGGATTATTATTATTATAATAGACTTTTTAATTATTTGTATATTTTATAATATAAATTAATCTTATAACAGACCATGTAGGTTTTTACTATACAGTAAGTAGGCCCTTGTAAATTAAATAATATTTGCAAATAAACATAGTTTATTTATTAACCATTATAGGATTTATTTAGTAGGAAAAATAAAAGTTGTAAATATATATGCAATAGTTTTGCATTAACTTTTTTTTTTTATTGATTTTGACATATTAAAAAAATTCAAAGAGTTTCCTTTAATAATAGATAAAATATAAAATCAGACTGAACTATGATTTTAAAAATTGTACATGATGTTATTCTGTTTTAGACTTTGTACAACATGAAAATGAATACCTATCAGTAATTCCTGCTGAATTACTTGTAAATTCAAATGAATCACAATTACTTGAGTATTTCCAAAAGTTCAAAGTTCAGATTGAATCTTAGTATACATTAATGGTCAGTTGACTTACTGTACATCACATATAGGAGGGTAATTATATGTCTCTTTGCATGCACTCTTTGATCTGTTTTTATTATCTCCATAGACATTAAATAGATAGAAATACTATTAAAAAGCATGTTGCTAAGAAGACAAACAAAAGCAATGTGTCTTTATTAATTATACAAGGTTAATTAATGATGAATGGACAAATTGTATAAAAAGAAGCAATTGTTATAAGCTTGGGTAATGTTGTAGATCTATATTTATCTCTAATTGAATTCAGACCTTTCACCATTCATGCAAGAATTCTGATATGCATTGCTATATCATAATCAGTATATATGATGTATTTTTAGAATAATAAAATAAAAATTAATCATATTTCAAATTTTGGTAAAAATTAATTTAATTTATTCCAAATTACTGTATGTTTGATGCATAATTCAGATAGTTTAGAAATTAAAAATTAACATTTAAGCATTTGTTTGTCTTCTTGCATTCCAGAAATGTTCACATTTATGTTTTGTTTAAAAAACAAAATCCTCAATTAATGTAAAGTTTCCCCACGCTACTGATTGTAGAAAAGTGACCCTATTCCCTATTGTTTAAATGTGCTTATATTATACTATAGATAGATATAGATAAGGGTATGTGATGAAATAAATGTTTGTGGGCATGGTCTTGTCACCGTTTATTCTATTGCAGTACGCACAACACTGGTAGTAGATTCTGCGGGAAAACGGGCCAACTATGAGGGTGCTACGCTGGCCAGACGGAGGCTGCGTACAAGGCAATACGTCCAGTCTTATGGAAGCAATTCGCTGTTGGTGTGTTATTTAAAAAACATGTCTCGTTTATTGTTCTCAGCAGGAGCGTGCAACCATGTTAAAATATTAGTTCAGTACTGTACATTTAGCTAAAATCTTGATTTAGTATTTGAGGAAAAATTGTGAAATAGAATAATGAACTTATGCATTACAGTGTTGACTAACAAACAAATCTTTCATTTTTTTGTTCTAAAAGTTAATGTGTACTATACTTAAACTATACTTATATACCTAAAAATCCTTTATATGAAGTGATGCTGTATTTATGATAATTTTCTAATGATAGAAAAAAAATTCTCTAAATGCAGTGGCCACATCCTGGATAATCTTCATGTAAATATCTATAATCTACAACATTTCTATACTGCATAAGATTGCTCTCAGGACATTTAAAAAATAAAAGATATCTGACAAAAATATTTGCCAAGAAATATGTTAATTATTATAAATCTACTCTATTGAATTCTTAATCCAATTAAATTGAAATTAGTGCATCCAAATCTAATAGCGTAGTATGAGTATGGTTAAAACCCTGTTCAAAGTAGTAAATGTTTTACACAACTTTAGAATAAAATTCAATTGGAATGAAGGAAATAAAACTTATTTTACTGTAGACTGTAGAATTGAAAATGCAAAATTAATATAGTAAAGTAAAAATATAGAGAAATTTACTAATTTAATTTAATGATTTGAAATCAAAACCATATTAGATAATTTGGGAACCCATCAGAATTTATCGTTATATAAATAGTTTAATAGATCTTAGCATGCTGTATAGTGTTATTTATTAAAGAATTTGTAGATATTATTAGTTTGCTGCACTCTCAATAACACATGCACCTTTGTTTATAATTCATATCTTTTTTTATATCAAATAAAATGTTTAGAACCTTTGTAAAGAATTAATCAACCATTGATGAAAAAAAATAATTTTGGCACTATTGAAGTGTGTTGCTGTTGCTCATGTTAGTGTCCACAATGACAGAAAATCATTATTGTTCATATTTCATGTCGGAAATCATCCTTTAATCTATAATTATTATGTGTCATAGAAACAGCAGATAGTAAAGCTTAATATTTTTTTCTTCATTTTTTTAGGTTATGGTGTAAATGTCGCTTTGATATCGCCAGAGAAGTCAATCAAACTAGCTGGCAATGACATATTTCGAGCATTACTAAGTAAAAATGGGTGAGTATAGTGGTGCAAAATGTATCTCAAATATAACAAAAGTTTATTTCGTAAATAAAAATTATTGTATGTCTTAGCCATGTATAAGTAGTTGATAGTTCATCAAAACAGGCATCCTCAAAAGCACATCCTTCCCAATTGAGCATAATCTATTCCATGCCTCTTGTCGGATGTATTTCCTGCTTCTAATCACCTAACATCATCATCATTGCTCCATGCTAACACTCATCCTACCATCTATTTTAGCATTGGTAAAATCATGAATAGTTACATGATGTACATTGCCTTTCACTGCTTCATGATGGTGTCTCTTATTTACAATCAATGTTTAGCAATTATTTTTGGAATGTTTTCAATAAAATTAATGGCATTTTTTTTCACTTTTTCATTGGAATTTCCCATTGACCAGTGGTAAAAAAATTAATGGCTAGCTCCTTCAAATTCCTTCAAATGGCTTTGAAACACAGGCTTCTCGATAATCAATTGTATGTTTGCCGTGGATACCAAATTCCTGTGTCTACAGTGGAAAATTACGTGTTAATGGCATGGCTATACATTTTTCACTAACGTATAAGCTATTAGAATGTGATAAATACAAATTGGAGTCTTAGTGGTCTGATTGCTAAGATATTTCCTAAAGTCATGTGACGTAAGTCTCCTGAAAGTGGTATAATTTACATAAAAAATATATGAGGATTTCATGCTATAATATTGACTTGGTATCTAAATTACACACCAGGGAAATAACTTATCCTCTAGTTATTTCTGCAAGTGTACAGATCGCAATTGTGAGACACGTGTAGGTTTGTTCTGTATTGGAATGTTTGAAATGAGTATAAAAATTGCAATAAAAAATTGCAATAAAGTTACAAGAAACCCAAATATATAAGCTGATAAATAAACCTGCATTTTAAACCTCAACATGTGGAGGTGTGCATACACAGGAATGTTTGTGCTGAGAAAAGTAATTTTGTTTTCCAATGTAAAAGCAAAGAATACATATATGCCTACAATAAATTTCGCTTTATCAAAACAATTTGAGAATATATGCATAAAGATTGTCCTTACTGAGTACAATAACAATATTTTTCCTTCTAAAAGCAATACACTCATGCAATCCAAACTACTACATTAATAATAATTTATAAATGTCATAATTTGGTTCTCTTTGGTTCTCTAATATATTAAATCAACATCTTTAATAAATTTCTACATTTTTTGTTTTGCTTATTTCTTTTTTTTGAAATTGTTACAGTATTTAATAATAATGATTTTAATTCTAAAAGCAAATATTTGTTGTAGTAATAATGCATTACTAATTACTCAAAATTTTAATTTATCAATTTAATAAAGAAACCTATGTGCAAAATTGTTTTTTGTGAAAATTTATTCAGCCAATACTCTTGGCAAAATGTCAGTCAGCGAATTGGTAGTTGAGGCAAAATAAAAGTACCTTTGACAGTTCCAGTATGCCAGATTAACTGCTGCAATTATTTTTACTTACACTGCAATTTTTATCTCATGATGTCCTTCATTATGGTGAATGGTCTGGGTCCAACCCTGCCAAGATATTTAATACATTTAACATAAAAATAATTGATCAGTTTAGTGCTTGTGTTTTATAAATTTCTAAGCCATGTTCTTGTTTACAAGTGAATCGGCAATAAGGTACAGATAACACATTCATTTTTAATTGGTTTTGTAAAACTGGCATATCTTAAAATATAATAAATTACAAGTTATTAATTTCTCAGATAGCAAATAATATGTGGATGGTGTCAACACAAAATGCACCAATTTTTTCCACAAAAATTGTCCAAATTATAACCTGTGATTGGCTGTGCATGTGATCCAGTAGACAAGCATAAATGCAAATGTATCCAGTGGTAATTGTATCCTTCAGTGTAAACGAAATGTAGAGATTCCTCTGATCAATACAGATCTTCATATTCTTTTACATCAGGTAATAACCTAATGCAAATACTGTCACTTGTTATCTGCCCACTCACTCTCAGAAACTTGGGCTTTGAGGGATGATACCGCCACAGAGAATAATATCTTTTATTGAAACGAAGGGTGTTTTCATTAAAAGATTAATTTGATTAGTCTGAAGTTTCACTCCATTAATACTAATATGCCTTCAAATTAAATCTTATATTCGCCTCTAGTATTGAATACACTTTCTCTCCATGATTGCACACTTTTTTCTTAATAATGATTTCACCTTTAATACTCTCTAACATATGTCACTTTTCTGTTTAAGCCCCTTTACTTCCGACTTGTAGGAGTCGCCCACACAAAATATGTTGAATAAATTAGTAAATTCATTTACTTATTGGTACTCAGTCTGTTATTATTGTTCAAATTAATTTTCCTAATTAACTAAGGGTTTTTATAGCTTCAACCTGGGAATTTCAAATACAGTTAAGCTAGCAAATATTATTATTTATTATTGGTTATAAATTTATAATTTTGATTAAGTAAATTATACTTCCGGCAATTACCGTAGTTCCTCTGGTATAAGCCAACCCTCCCCACTCCTTGAAGACAAGATTTGGCCAATATTCGGGGGTGGGCTTGTACATAAGGAATCTTCTTTTCAGTCAAATGGCAATTTTCCAGCACTCTATGCCTAATTCAAGCCAAGAAGCACTTTTTAAATTTTAAATTTTAACTTTGTACTCAGGGCCCGAAGGGAAACCAGTCTTTTCGACTGATTTTTAGTCTAATAAGAGTACTCACCATTTTTGTTGTTTTATCACTTATCAAGTTGCTAAACAAAAATATGATAAACTAAAACATTTAAAATAAAATGGCTAATAAATATAGAATTAAAATAAATCTAAACCATTTCCATGGACAGCAAGCTTGCATTAATAACATGCATCAACTGAATTTATTTTTGACAAATCATTCTTTGGGTTCTGCACAAAATTTGCTTGTTAATGATGGAAGACTCCCACACTGATGTACGGCTTTACTGTTATTATTATTATTGTTTTTAACTGATTTATACCAAACTTCTTTTAAATTGAACAGTGAAGCCATCCCTATGTACAAACAGATCTTAGCAGGGGGAGGAGCAGGGCTTTGTCAAGTAGTAATCACCACCCCTATGGAAATGCTGAAAATTCAACTACAGGATGCAGGCAGGAGTGGTAAGAGGAATTACTGTAGTTTCACAATATTTGATTTTAATTATGTTAATTATGTGCATTATATTATACTGTAATAGGTTTTAAGTCAGCATTTTGTCGTTATGTTTTAATTTTGGTTTTTTTATGTTTTAAAATAAATTTTGAAAAAAGAAGTTAATTTTGATTTAGAAGTGCAATATCATACTTTAATCAAGATTCTGAATAATTAATGGATTGTAAAAAACTGCATTGTTGCCTATCGGGCGCTATGAATGTTAATTAAAATAATATCAATAATTTATTTCGATTTCAGCTAACCTAAATAGTCTAAGAAATATGCCACAGGGTCCTCCAGGAGAATTGTCATCCAAACTCAGTCCACTACTTACAAGGGCTTACTCCGCCACAGCAGCTGGTTCCAGAACACCCACTGCCTTAGAAATTTCAAGAGAGCTCTTTCGTGCTAAAGGAATCATGGGAGTCTATAGAGGTTTTGGTGCAACGTTGATGAGGGATATTCCATTTTCAATGTTATATTTCCCTCTCTTTGCATATCTCAATGAAAAGGTGAGGAAATAACCAAAGAAATACATTTAATAACAAATTAATTTCCCTATCTCTAAAAGCACTTGTATAGATTGCATTTGAAATACAATTCTGGAAATGCTTTTGTAACATAAAGATATAAATAAATGCGTAACTACAAAATATAGTATACACACTCTATATTAATAATAATATTTACAATAATAACAATAATGTGCCAATTTGAATTTCAAATTTATGATTTATGTAATGGGTTTGTTATGATAGTGCTCTATTTGAACAATCTGTTTTTATATACTGCAATTAAATGACGTACTAATGTACTAATAACTATTTATTGCATTTTACTTTGGGTTAAATTTCTGGCTAATAATGATGTTTTGCAAACAAACAAATATACTGGCATTGGTTGTCTACCTGTGAATTTTGGTGTACAGTATTTTATGCATGTTTGTGCAGATGAATAGCTTAGTGGTTAAGATTCTTGCCTTCTAATCCCAGGGTTGTGGGTTCAATTTCAGTACATTCCCTTTTCATCAATAAGAGACTTGATATATAAAGAGTGTACTTGCTGTTGGATGTGAAGGAAAATTTTTTTAAATGTATTTCTGGTTTGTGGGTATAATTTTTCCAAATATCTCTAATATTTGAATTGTTCCCGTAACAAAGGGGGTGCCATTTGAAGGAAGAAAATTTACATTTTAGCATTAATTTGCATCTGGATGCTTAGCAGTAACATGTACTTCTTTATCAGTCTACCCTTTATAATCTGTTATATTTTTATTCTTTGTTGTACAATAGGGGGTGCCATATGAAGGTGGAAGAGCAACATTTGGACATTCCTTTGTATCTGGTTGCTTAGCAGCAACTTGTGCTTCCTTGTCAGTCAATCCTATTGATGGTAAGTTCCCTGTCCTATCCATCACTTTATTTCCTAGTATTCATTCCTCTATTTTTTGTCTTATATTTATTTAAACATCTTGCATAAAGGTAAATTGTTTTGGATTTTCTCAATACAATGTTTATTCTTTCCACATGTCTTGTTTTTGCTTCTTCATCACCTGTATCCCTACTACAGCACTTTGATTTTTCAAAATCAACCTATAGTTTATATTAACCTTATTTGTAAAATTAATCTAATAACTTTAATTTCACCAATATAATGAGATATTTCTGTAATTAATTACACTTTCAACTACATTGGTCTAAATACATGTGATTTGAAAATCAAAACATGATTGGATACTGAGAAATTGTTTGTGGAATAATACCACATGAAATAGATTTAGTATAAGCTAATAATAGCAATCTAATGAAAGTGAAATGCAGTGGTGCACACACCAACGAGATCTGATCAATCATGCGAGAGGATAAAGCTTTACTTAATAGAGTGAAAAAGAAGATGAAATAAGGCACGAGTTCTCTAGAGAATGGGTAGGCAATTACCTAAGATTCCGCAATGCAAATTCTCAAATACGGTATATAAATGTCAAACGAAACTGCATGATAAAAATTTACCAGATAAAGCTGTAGATACACTGTCAATATAGAAATGATATTTTACTCAAGCTATTGGATTTAAACTACATAGCGAGGATGGAAATTGCTATCAATTGTACAATGTGGATATGAAAATTGTATTCAGCAATCAAAGAATATCCACAAAAAACTGATATATTTACCCAATATTAAAGACAATATTGCCCTCTGCAAAACATCAATAAAAAATAGGTCTAAAACTTTTAAACCAATCACCCTGTATTAAAGACAATTTATTGCGCTATACAAAACATCAATAAAAAAAAGGTCTATAAAACATTTAAATCAATCAGAAGGCAAAATTATATGGATTACTCTTCAAACTCCTACAATGAACAATGTAGATTATTTTTCAAAAAATGACATTTATAGTAGTAGTAATCTACTAAGTGAGGTAAAATCTACATCAATGTCTTTAAGTGTAATGTTAACAGCAAATAATGAAATTTAATCCACTAAAAAGATAAGTTTTACTACCACAGTATGTTTATTAGTATAATATTAACCGCAAGTTATGAAAATTAACCCAGTGAAAGGATGAAATTTTACTACTGAAAGGCAGACCTAATTGAAACCACTTTAGTTACATGACATTTTTACTGTTATTTCCAAAGATCAGATTAAAATGTGGGTGTCCATCATTTTCAAATTATGAAATTTAAAATACTGAAAATATGTCTTTTTACTACTGATATGCAGTAACAGACAGATATATACAGATACTGTATAAATTAATATAAAGAATGTAAGGTTTTGCCGCATCAAGCCATATTGAAGTAGTAGCACTGCAGAAATTTTGTTAAACACAAGTCTGATAGGCTTCATCATAATGCAAAAAATATGTTGTTACCCAAGCCAAACCACCTAAATTTTTAAGATTTTGGGGTTTGAAAAATTTAGGGTTAGCCTCGTTTTTAAGTAAAAATACTATATTTATTTACCAAGAAGCCTAAAATATTTCTGTGATGTTTCAAATGCCATTTTTAAGTTTTAATTAATTGCCATACAGAACCATAGATGTTAGCCCTTTGGTTAATGTTTACCAACCTGGGGTGAGTGCAGTGGCAGTGCCAGCGGGGGGACAGGGAGGGCTTAAGTCCCCCCCCCCACCGGACAGGTCAAGCCCTCCGCCGGACAGAGCTTGCCGGGCAGTCAGACCATAAAACATATAAAAATAGGCCCACTCCAAGCCAGCACATGTCTGTCCCAGTCTGAGAGTGCCATTTCCGGCCATCCAGAGGTTGCTATACTTAAAGGCCAGCTCTGGGCATACATTTTCTCTTCACTATGTGTTCAAATACATTATTATAAGATATCATGCGAGTTATCACGACAAAAAAATTCGCCAATTTGACTGAAAATGAGAATATAAAAATCCACTTAGAACCGCAAAAATCAAGCAGTCTACTTTTTTTTCACTAGCTAGGTTTTAGAATACTCAAGCGTGATGAGAAAACAAATTACAACACACTAACTGTCAACCAACGACACAGCAAAAACGTGACATCGCGCTGTTGCGGACTTCCACGCTAACCTGTAAAACGTGTCGGTCAAGATGGTGTACAATAAGCATAATTGCCATAAACAGAATCAATACAATTGATAAAACTAAAAAAAAAAAAAAATGACAGAAGAGAGTAGTACCAAAATAGGCCTACTACTGTGTTTAGTTTTTTTATTATCATGATACTTGTCCGATCCTTTCGTGTAAAGAATGGATTGGCAAGTTAGCGCAAAGCTCAGAGCGATTGACTCCCCGGAAAGTGAAAAAAATCAAGTGGGTATGGTGGGGAATAAATGATAATTGCGCAGAAATACGTACTTGACATAAAATAAAAACTCCAGAAACAAAAAGTTTAACTAAATTCACCCCAGTTTAGTCATTTATAGTGTAATTTTTTGCCCTATTGTTTATTTGTTATGTTTTTTTCAAAATGCCTGCTCTTAAGGTCATTTGTGTGCAAAAGAATAGGAAATTTGCTGGGTAAGTTTACCTATACCCCACTTTTAAAAAAGTACTTATTTAAAAAAAAAACCATGTAGCAAAACAAAATTCAGAAAAATCCCGAAACATAGGTGAATCAATATATTGATAATAACTATAATATATAATCAATACAAAATTTTTGCCCGGAGCTGGCCTTTAAATAAATCTCATTTGGGACGGGGAACCTCCCCTCAACCCCTTCCCCCAGCTTGGGCCTACAAACTCAAGTTCCCCTGTCCAACAGCTTACCCCCGCCCCCAAGAAAATATATCCTAAAGCTGTCACTGAGTGAGAGATGGTCATCACACCCTAGAACGGCCTTGATTTTTAAATGTCACCATTTCTCAGCAACAAAACTTTTTTTTTGCCAGGTTATATTCAATTAAGTTCATGTGGTTTGAAGATAATTAATATTTACTAAAATTTGTTTATATATTTTTCAGTTATAAAGACAAGATTGCAGTTATTGAAACAGGCTAAAGGAGAACAATGCTATACAGGCATACTGGATTGTGCAATGAAAATATATAAAAATGAGGGCGTGAGTGCATTCTTCAAGGGTGCTTCCTGCCGAATGCTAGTGATCGCACCCCTATTTGGGATTGCTCAGGGTGTGTACTACATCGGTGTTGGTGAATTCATTCTGGGCATCAATAGCAATTAAGCTGGAGGATGATGAGTGGCAGGAGAAGTATGATTTAATCCAAAGGTCATTCAACTCATCTGCAACTGTGCCAAACCTTGTAGTATGCCTTGAAGATATATATAATAATGTCCCTAGATCTTCCGAAGTATGCTGGTAATAAGTAATAAGAGAATAAATAATTTATTATTACCAAGATGCAGAGTAAGGTAGGGTGAAACTGTAATATCACCCACTCAAATTTAACCTGACGTTCTATTTGTTTTGTCAGTTGACTTCTAAGATGTCATTGACAACCCACAAGAACCCAGTGACGTCATATTGTATCATGTTCGCTGAAATGTATTAACAGTAAGTACTGTATTGGGATGTAATTGTAATTATATTAATAGAAAGGTTTCGCACACGAACGAATACGTGTACGCATACTTGTAGCTATCCGTAATGGTTTGTAGCCATGCTCTACTGTCGCAATTACAGCAAAGTTTAAGCGTAGGGCCTTAGGGCTAGGCTATTCCATTTTCTTCTCTCATACATGATTCTCAAAATCAGATTTTGGTATGGTCTAAAGTTTTGATATGTAAGGTTTTGGAAATTGGAAGTGGTAACCAAATAATACACATTCCCTTGTTGCCCAGAAGAGTTGGTTACTTTGTGACCCAAAAATGCCTGGCTACTATAAGCTAGGCCTGGGGAGGCCCTAGCAAGAAAATCCCGACACCAACAAGCACCGACGTTTTTTAATACCCCAAAATGAGACGCATCTTATCGTCGTAACTTGCTGTCTTCAAAAGTCACAAAATGAGACGCATCCTATCGTAACTTGCTGTCTTCAAAAGTCACAAAAATGGCACGTATGTATTAAAGATGCATATATTTTTTAAAAGGTCATTCTAGGAATCAAAAATTTTCCTACGCGTTTTTCACTTAAGTGTAGTGAGGGAGATATGTGTGTCGTCCACACGATTAGTGGACAGCAACCGGCATATGATGTCAAATGATGATGTATATGTCACACTAACTGTATACGTTTGCATGGGAAACCTCCGTATTCACAATTGATTTCATCCCAAGTTCATTGCTTTAGCTATGCAAATTTTAAAAATAACATTCTCATTGCTACACAAATGTTTGGCTAAAGAGCCATAGCCTTGTGCTGGCTATCAAATTTTCTTTGACAAAAAGGTGTTGTGTGCCCATACTGTATATAATCATGATGTGCCTATATATGGTCATGTTGTGATATTATCATGACCATATTTAGGCAAGTCACTTGTTAAAACATAAGCAATACTGTAACTAGTGTCATTCCTGCTAGACCCCTATTTTGTCTTCAGGATGTATTGTGTTAAACAGTTGATGCCGTATTGTAATTAAGGGTATTGGTATTACGTATGGTGAATTGGGCGATAGATATGTTAAATCAGATTATATGTGTATTGTCCTGTAGTAATTGGATGGTCGGCTCTTTCTAAATTTCCTAAATTCAAATAGCATAATAGTTGTCCCCTGCCAAGAGAAGATACTTATTTCTCCTTCCAGCTAAAAATCCCCAGTTGTCATTTTTTGAGTGAGAATTTTTCCTTTTCTTGTGAAGGTAAATACAGTATTCTCACATTCTTGGTCAAGGCAAGAATTTTTCCTCCTGGATGAGGGTAATAATTATTTCCTCAGATTGTTCCTACCTGGTTGAGAATCAAGTAAGGATAAGAATTGTCCCCTACAACAAATGTTAAAACTAAATTTCTAGCCTAGTCAAAAAAATATATATTCAAAAAAATATATATTAATACAATCAATGACAAAAAAGGAATACTTGTCACAAGCAACTGTTTATTCTGCTTATTATTTCCCTTTAACAATTACAAGATATTCCTACAATATTTTTAATAAAATTGAGGAAACCCACCAAATTCACAGATAGAAATTCCACAAAATCACTTGATGTTAATGTTGGTGAAAGGGAAAAGAAGTATATTAAATCGTTTTAGATAATGGGAAAACGTACTAACAACAATTTACGTATAAGACATTTTCAGTGGGTTTGGTTTTTAGCAGTGGCATGTTGATGTTCTAGTTTAACTATGCTTTACTGTCCTTATGATCTAGTAGGGTCCATCTTGAAATTGGGAAAATATTTACAGTATTATATCTAAATTTCATCAGGGGAAACCTAGCAGTTTAAAAAACTTGTGTCTAAACTGATTTTGTTGTATGGTGCCATGAGGTTTTAATACCATGGAGCGCAGTACCAATGAAGTATGGTACCATGGAGGTAAAATATACCGTACTGTACCATGAAGGATTAATGCTCATGAGGTATGATAATAGAGGTGTAATGCCAATGAGTTATAATATCAATGAGGATACTTGGAGGTATTTTCCAACGAGGTACAATAATATGGGGGTATTACACCAATGAGGTATGATACCGTGAATGTGTATTTGGTATGTTGAAATGGAGGTAAGCCTGTAATACCAATGAGTTATGGTACCATGGCAGTATAATACCAATGCGTTATGATGCCATTGAGGGCGGTATGTTACCATGAAGATGGTATACTGTACTGATAAGGTATGATAACCTGAAGGTTTCCTTGGAGATACCAATGCGCCGACAATGCATTATGATACCATAGAAGTATAATACAGATATGATATAATACTTTTATGTTGGTATGGCCCAAACCTTCAGTTTCACAAGTGGAAAACATTGGTTTTAATTGGATAATTTTTAATAATAATAATACACATATTTATGCAGCTGAGAACATACAAAATATTATCTTTATTTCAATTTATTTATTTGAAAATTTTGACATTCAAGTACAGAATTCATTACAGATACTGGTCAGGGACAAAAAATAATGGACATGGCTTCATAATAGTAATAAGTTTAATCAAAAATTACCTGGAGATAATTGCTTTTGGTATTTCTTTTAAAAAAACAATTAAATCGCTAATTATATATTCATGGACATTAAAAAATTGTTTTTAAATTTGTATTTTTTTAACTTATAACATTATTTTTCATTTTTTTAAAAGAAATATTATTTATTGGCTAAGCTTCAAAAGCTGAATGCTTTGTGGCCTGCAGGCTAAGGAGAAGTCTTGGGCATTTAGAAAAGCCTATCAAATCTGTAGGCCTTAAAAGCCAGAGAACCTTAAATATTTAAGGTCTTGTGAACAAAAATGTAGCATTTATTTCAGCCCTGGACTACCTAATGACTATTTGGCACTTATTTGTGTTATTATTTTTGTAATCATGTCAACAGTGAACAGTAATGTAATACCGGTGGTGTATCTAGGACTCTTGAAATGGGGTGGGGTGGGGGGCCTCGATTAAATGAGGGGGCACTAGGTTGCAAAATAAGGTGATTTTTCTTTTACTAATGGAGCATAATTTTTTCGCTCCAGACATTTTCAATGGAGTGGGAGGGGGTAAACTTGGGGAGGGCGCAAGCATTTTTTGGGGGACATGTGCCCACCGTGCACTTCTAGATACACCACTGTAATAGCAACACGTGTTGCATTTATAGATCAAACTGCCCATTCCATTCATAGAGTGCATTTTGTTTAATACATGGTTTTCCATTAAGAGTAAAACAAGTACAGTAATTAACAAGTAAACAACCTACTTACAAACCAAGGTGCTTTTGAACAAAAAAGGGGTCCTTCCAGGGGTGAGGGGATAGTGCAATGTATAGAAATGCTTTAAAGACCACCCCCACCTCCTCCTTAACCGCAACAAATATTGGGAGCAATCAAGACTACAATTACCAAGATGCCTGTTAAGCCAAACCAAACATTCTCTGCATCTCACGACGATGGCACTCAGAACAAATTCTTGATCAATCGCATTTCTCATCGCATTGTGGTGTCAAGGAATCGTGTCTTTAGACCATCAGCCAATGTGGTGAATGCTTGGCTTTATTTACGGTGATTGTTATTTTGAAAGAAATAATTCATATTTATTTTGCTGAGCATTGATATTTAGCATGAGCAGCCTGACGATGTCTGATGTAATCAAAAGTGTACTTTTAAAAAGAAAAAAGAATGGTGTTCACTAATTTTACTTTGTGGGTCATTCAAAAATATCAGCATTTTTTCTACTGCAGGAGGGATTATTTTTTTCTATCTATTCTCACAGTAATTTATTTTAAATTTTCATTTTAATATAATTAAAAACTTTTATCAGTTTTATTCTACATTTCCCAGTAAAATAATTTGTACAATTGTGAAAATGTTGATAATTTTTAGTGAACCCATGCACTAGTACTTGTTGAGTTTTGTGGATTGCAACCAGGGCTGCCAGGAGAGAGGTTGGTTATTATGAAGAAAGGCAAAGCGGGAAATCTTTACCAGTGTCTCAAATATTGAAAGCAAGACATTCCGAACTGACAAAAAATAATGAAAAAATATGTCAGCAGATTCCAAATCCTTAAGTTTGGGGCCACTATATTGCAAACTTTACCCCATTATCTTTTGGCAGCCTTGTTTCCCAGTTCAATAAGATGTGTTAATTAGCTTGTTTGTAAATCACAAAATAGAATTGTACATGTTGTAAAAGGTCAAAGGCCATTAGTTGGTGCAATCTACTGTAACACTAAATTTATACAAAATGGTAGAATCTTGTCTGCTTTTGAAACTAAATAACAAAATGTTGTATATTATTATTTTTCTATGTGGATAAGATCCAGGTTTTGTTGGGGAGAATTTCCAAAATGTTTCAAAATTCCATTATATTTTGAGTAAAGTTATTGCTGCAGAGGTAGTAAAAGTAGAAAAGTTGAGGGATATATGTCTATCCATGGTTGTGTGCTATGGTTTGCATTCAGTAAACATATAAAGTGATTATTATGTAGATACAAAGAGAATAAATCTGCTAGTTCAAATATCACGTTTTTGTGTTTTTATACTGGCTTTCTAAGCATGTATTTGTACAGATCCCTTTGCAGTACAGTAGGAAATAATTAACAGAGGCATGAGGCTAAGGCTTGTTCAGGCTTTACTACGTGGTTGGGTCAGAGTAGAACCCTGTGCTACGAGGCAAATCCCACACATTCTGCTCCTAAAAAGGCCTGCTAAGCCAATTTGGGGCAACAAAAAAATGTTCATGAACGTCCCAGGGTCTGGAGCTCCTGGATTTAGCTCATAGGTGTTATGCCACTGATGAAGAGGAGCAACTTTTCCCATTCAGGTGTGAGAAGTGAATTAAGCTGTAGCGTTGTTTTTAAGTTACTCACTTTGTAAACCCTGGATTCAAACCCCCATAACTTTAGAAATTAATTTCATGGCTAAACTGATGTATTTTGAGACAGTGGTGTGGACGACCAAAGAAAGCGAATTCCCCCACACTGACCGCCTTCATCATGCAAGACAGTTGAGTTAAAGTAAATCTTGTTCATGCTATAGGCCTACTGTACAATAGCTATATCTAACGACCCTTGGCCCCTTTGCTATACCACAAAAGATATTTGCTATTGAAATACAGGTACAATGTATTTTCCTATGAATTGGTACATATTTTTATGCAATCAAAACAATTACATATCTGATTGATTTATTTATTTATTCAAGCTGTTCTTCTCTTACAATCTACAATCTTGTATTTTAAATTGCATTATTTTTTTTTATTAAGAACCAAGTTAAATAATAATACTGTATAGATTTTTTTTCTGAATGTAAATGTTAGGTGAATACCAATGGGAAAGGTGTTCTTTTTCCTTTACAACCCACCTTCTCTATTTTGGAGTAAAACCGAATAAATACAAAAAATAAATAAATTTTTAATTTTGTCATATACTGTAGATTGTGTTTGATCCAGCAAACTTTTGATGTCTTAGTGGAGATTCTACCTCTTATCTTACATGCTATAGATGGCAATTAGACAAAATGAACATTTTATCCTAATTAATTGGGCTTGCAAACTTCCGATATTGTAATTTTACACCTCGTATTCCATACTTTGCCACTAAAAATCATCACTAAATTAGTACTGCTCAGCCATTTACTGCCTGCTGCCCTCTACAGTCCAGCAACCAAAGCTTGGTTAATAATCAATATCATAAACACATAATGAAACCATGTGCTGCCCTTTGAAGATTGAAACAATGTCACAGACTCGATAAGTCACGTACAGTAATACAGTAATAATGATTTATTGAATATTTTTACAGAAAAATTCTAATACCAAATTGTATCAAGTACAACCAACTAAATAATTATGTATTTGGAATGTATGCATTTTCCCTTGATTTCAGTATAAAACTCTTGGAAGGATTCATGCGATGATCAAAGCTCCTAGCTGGGGGTGACATAATTAAATGTAAAATAAAATTAATGAGACAACTTTTTATAGAGGTATCCAATGTTTTTGATACATTTTCTTTTCTCTCCTCTTCCTCTTTTCGGGGTGGTAGAGCTCTAGTCCCCATTCCCACTGGATCTGATTTTTTTTTTTTGGTCTACATTTTTGTGGTTTTGGCCTACACAGCACAAAGTTACATGGATATGTAGCAGGATATGACTCTTCTCATTTAAGAAACACTGCTCAAATTATTTTATATAAACCTTAAATCATATGAGGAGAGAAACATATATGGCATTAAAACTTTTTTCGTGTAAGGCAAGACATTTTTAATCCCTAGTTTTGCGAACTCACTGCCTGCCAATATTGATGATTTTGAATAAAACTATAACTTTATTTTTGGCCAATTAGCGCACGCTCTACCACAAAATATTTCAGAAAAGTTTCTTTTTGTATCACAACCTTGAAATCTCCAAAAATAAGAGATGTATATTTCTTCCTAATAATATTTATATTTAAAGGATTTAACCATCCCATTACTACTGTTACAATAAAATTTTATTTTATTTTCTCCTCTGTCTGGATGTTTTTGGCAAAACTATTTGCTAAATAAGAAAGCAAAATGTTATTTTTATTATTTTTTCCACCCTCCTCTGAAACCTCTTTAAAAAAATAAGTTTGCGAAACAACGAATGAAAAAGTCTCGCCTAAAAGTGAAGCAATGACTTTCAAAGAGCAATCAAACAATTAAAATAAATTGATTGAACCACTGTATCAACCTTTGGAATAAGGATATATAACTGATAAACTCCTGGAAAATTAATTTCCACTCAATCAATTCTCAGAAAATACATATAGGTTTAATTCTGCATTATTCATCATAATAACTGAATTGCATTGTTAATTATTAAAATTTTCAGAAAATCGTGCAATGTATACTATTAATATACAGTAAATATTAACTAGTGACGTACATGAATCACCGCCACCACCCTCTCAGTAAACACGAACATACGATAAATACCTGCTATATATAGAATTGACATTTAAACAGTGTATGATCTCAGCCGTACAATGTTTGATATTAATTAGCAAATACATGATTATTCATCCTGGTTTCAAAGAAAGGCAACAATAAGTTGATAGTACATTTCCTGTGCCCTTCAGTAAACCACATAATGGTTTGCACATCTTTTGTATAAACCGCCTAATTTTTGTCAAAAAACATTTTGTTCATTTTGTAACTGTAGTTACAAAATGTATTGAGAATTAAATAAATATACACCTTACCCTGCCCACCCCTATTGATATTAGACAGTTTATTCAAAGGTCACCCCTAAAGATTTTGTCTGTATGTGTACATAAAAACATTGAATTTGCAAGAAAAAACAATATGCAAAGCTATAATACTAATAAGTGTCTCTACAATAATAGTGAGTTTTAGCTCGGAAACAATTATGCATAATTTCAGACAATGTTACGTCATTGCGAGGCATGTATGCATGCATAATGTTATTCATAATGTTAATACCTGGTTCATTCATCTGGGACATGAAATCAACCTGAAACCTGGTGCCAGTATTCTGACAAATGAGAAAAAAGCTTCCGCCTCACGTTAATTATTGATATTGTTAGTGCATGATTAGTAATACACTGCGTCCTGACTGGCGTCTCGAAAGAGAACCTTATTTGTATTTGTTAGGCCATGCTACATGCTTCGTTAATAATTAGCACATGGTATCAGATTACTTGTGTAATCTCACTAGAGACAGGCAGCACATTACAGTCCAGAGTTTTAAAATATTCAGAGCACCCTTATACAGTGCCCTATGGGGATGAGCAAAGGGCATATGCCCCAAAAAATCGTGCACTTCCAGTTTCCCCTTTACCTCCCACTGGAAATTCACTGACCAAAATATTAAATTCCAATATCACCTCATTTAACCTTTACCTCTTCCTCACTATATCCTCAATCCCAAATTCATGCTGCCCCCAACCCCACCTATCATCTTCCCCATGTCATAATCCCATGTCATAATCCCAGATACTCCACTGCGCTTATATAATAGTCATGTATGTATAGTGTATAGAGTAGATCTATTCTATTTCATACGTCTTATAAAGCAGGACATCCAACAAAACCTTTTGTTTTATTCTTTCACTCCTTAGACTAACAAAATAATGCTATATTGCACTGGTGTCCACCATTCAGTGCTTTCAACACTTAGCTTGAAAAATGAACATAGATTAAAGAAAGGAACATAGACAACATGGCAACATGGCTCAAAAACTACTTTCATCATTAATTTGTAATTAAGATTTATTCAAAAATCACAACAAAACTCTTAGGTATTTCTAATTTGTTTTATTATAATACTGTATTAATCAAAGTTACATTTGATTATTTTTACATAGATATATATTCACCATACTAATTATAACAATAATCACCCATAGTTTCATAATTGAATAATTTACTTCTAACAATAATAATTCTCTACACCAAATGAATTATTAGCCAGAATCTCCAAAGTACAAAGGTCATGACCTTTAAGCAAGCTAAACACCAGACGTACCAGTAATATTTTATATATAAATTCTACGAAGCTAATCAAGGAACTTCCTGTTGGGGTTGGCACCAAACAGTGCTGTTCTTATCTGGGGAAGCATCTGAAAAAGCCATATAAAAAGAACACTAAATATACATAAAGTAATTTGTAAAAATACATGACACGATTATAACATGTGATGATCAATCAATTTTAAGTGGTCATTTTAAGATAAAATAACCAGCACAAGTTGATTGAGGCCTTATGCACCAATAGGATGCATACGATTGGTTGATTAATTACAGTAATTGGTTTGTTGAATGGTTTATTGATTGATCATTAATTTTTTTAATTGACTAAATCATTGATTGATTGTTTGAATTATTGAATGCAGTGACAGATCCAGGAATTCGAAATAAAAGGAACCCAGCAAGGAGCTTTCAAAGATAGAAGGTCCACCCACATCAGCCCCATGGTTGGGGCTAAGGTCCACCCACCTCAGCCCCATGGTTGGGGCTAAGGTCCACCCACCTCAGCCCCATGGTTGGGGCTGAGGCAAGAAAATTTATGATTATAACACCCCTCCATAGCTGGAAATGACACTTTCCAACTGAAATTTAATATTTTTTTCCTTTAAAATTTTTATATAATTTTGAACAATTTAGGGGAAGGGGAGGAGGAAGGGGGCCCCAGCTTTCTCCCTCCCCTCACCCCTTGAATCTACCACTGCAATGGGTGGCAGATTACTTTATTGATTGATGGCTACTTAGTTGATAGTTTAGTCAGTTGCTTGATAGGTTGGTCAGTAGATTTATCGATCAGTTAGTTGAATGATATGCAAATGATGTGATTGACTGGTTAGTTCACTGATTGATCACATTGTTGATAGGATGTTTCGTTGGTTGAGAGATTGGTCAGTAAAACGATTCTTAGTTGGTTGAGAGATTGGTCAGTAAAACGATTCTTACCTGCTGGTTGATCTGGTTTAACCTGCTGTCCAGCGTATTACTAACTTTGATTTTATTGTTCTGTGCCAGCAACTCAACTCCTCCAGAACTGTAACAAGGCCACAATCAATACATTAATAACTGTACAAATATGATTTACAATTACTCATAAAGCTCTGTCTACACTAAAATGTTTTTTGACAAATAACAGTGATTTGCCAATATGGTGTGATATGACATTGTCATGACCATATAATATGGGTATATCACACAAATTATTATTATTATTATTATCATTATTATTATTATTATTTAAATTTGTCACTTAAAATGTTGTAGTCTGAACAGAGCCTAAAATGATGATCAACTTACGACCAATTATCAATTCTCAACTATTTATTATTATTATTATTATTTAGAATTTAGTATTTTTGTATCACTCACACATTAGGTCCGAGGAACTGATCTTTACTAACGGTTACACTGACATCCTTCTTAGCGGTTTCTTTATATTTTGCTGCTACTTTATCTATAACACTCTGAAAATGAAAAAAAAATGGTTAAAAGCAGATGTACATTACAATTGCTTACCTAATGAGTGGTTTGATTAGGTAATATTAATAATATAGGGTGAAGTTTTTATCTTGTTAATTATTGACAGTATTTACGAATAATCAATTTTGTACAGTTGTCTATTTATTCTAGAAGAAACTTGACCAAAACCATTACCACTGGAATAGGCATGTTTTACCACAAGTCTGCTCATTACTGTACACTACTTAAACACACTACATGCATACCTCTACAATTTCTACATCAGCTTGCCGACAGACTACAACTACTGTTGGCTCCAAAAGTTGAAAGAGTCCTTGAAGCAGAAGCCCTTCCAAAATTTGACTATAACGAGATTGGTCTAAGGTGACCTCGTCAAGACGTCTCCTTGCTTCCTCTAGAAGACTATCTACATGGTCCTCGCGAGATTTCAGCACCTTAAGTCTTGCTTGGTTCAGCATGTTGGATTGTTGGCTATAATTAATAAATGATGTACACTTATGTTACAGTAATTTAATACATATATACAGCATGCTAGTCCGGGTAGGTTCCAGGTCAAAATTTTGGTTACTCAGTGAATAACATTCTGAAATATACTGTTTTTTTTTTAGTCTGAATTAGACTAGTTATTACAATAGAACCCCTATTAAGGGGAAACCTTTGGGACCAAGAAAGTGTCCCTTTAATAGAGGTGTCCCCTGAACAGGGGTTGGCTGTAGTGTTAAAACATTAAAGATATACTTTCCCTCATTTTGTGGCCGAAAAAGTGTACCCTTAATCGGGGAGTCCCAAATGAGAAATTCTACAGTATTAGTTAATAATACAGTAACATCTCCCAATTACCAACCTCTCATTTACTAACTCTCGATTTTACGAACCGAATTTGCGGCGATGATGTTATTACGAACGATCGTTTTTTACCACAAAAACACTTTAAAATGTATTTAAAAGTCTTCAGAAATAATTTAAATTGTTACATCAGCTAAGACAGAAAACATTCAGACCTACAAAGTGTTATAAAACTAAGTTTTAAGCAAGAAATATCAATCGTGTGCCTGCTTGTTCAGACATACTGTGTACAGTAAATCTAACTTTTTGATCATTGAGGGCGCTATTTGCATAGATTCACGATCCTTATGAAAAGAATAATAACACTAGTTTTGGGTATTAGGCCAAAAGAAAAAAAATTGTTTGTTTGCATTCCTCCAACCGCCTCTAATTCACTGAAAAAAATAGGGGCGGAAAAACAAAAAAACTTTTTTGTTGTTTTTTTTAAGCTTTTTTCTTTAGAAATTCAAAAAATTGTGAGTGAATTTATCTTTATTTTTTGCAAGATGCCCTACAAATTAGTCTATAGTTGTTGTCTGATGTTAGATATTGCCATTCTAGGCCTCTGTGGGTTATTTTTATTCCCTCTGAAGAATATTTTTAAAAAAAATTTATCCACCTACCCCTATTCATCATTTTTATTTTATTTGGCCTTATATGGCCATGTTTTCATTCGGAAATCACTTCAGATGAATACTTCACAGTGAGCACAGGTAATACTGGCTTCTGTAAAGTATTATTCTGTTGCAGAAACAGTCAAATCCAAGTTATAATTTGTGACAAAATTTTTCTCCCATGGCAAAGCTTAGGGCCTACCTAACGTTGTACTTTGTAGCATATCCCTAGACCTATCCTCACCACACTGAGATGCTGAAAATGTGAACTCTCTGAATCACGACTTTACTCATTTACAAACCGGACGGAGGGGTACTGTACATAATTGGGAGATGTTATACTGTAATAATAATGGTAGACTTACAGAGTGCATATTATTGGCAAGCCCTCTATGCACTTCACATATCATTACCCCGATCATTGGATTAAACACCTATGGAACACAAAATCAAGCTCCCTGGGGGAGCAGTTACATCAGCGCTTTTTGGAATTTAACCCTACCATGTTCCCACTTATACTCCTGGTGGAGAGAAGCAATGAAGACAAATTGCCTTGAGCAAGGAAACAAGTGAAATGCATAACGTGGGATTGAAACCCCAACATCAAGGTTGGGAACCCAAACCGTTCCCACTGCGCCAAACCACTTACTAGCTAATGTCCTGTGCACAATATGAGCACAAAATATGTGCACAAAATAAAACAGCCCACAGCCACCATAATATTAAATTTAATATTTACAGTATGCAGTATGTAAAAACCACTGAAGGCTTACATTCTTCTTTGAAGTTCTAAATTTTTCTCTTTACGCTCATAATATTCCATAATCTTTACACGTTGATTTTGTACCAGACGTCCCTTCTCAATCTGAAATTCTTCTTCTGCCTAAAAAAGTAAAACAAAATATTTACAACCTATGCCAAACTTTATGCATGTAGGTTTAAATATGAACAAAGAAATGTGCAGCAAATTGTGTTCAGCTGGAAAAATATTACATATTTTTAAATTTCAATTTCAAAGCACCACTTTTATTCATCAATAAAACAGTGAAATTATTCACTTAATACAAATCATCAATAATGTTAATACTACAGGTCTACATAAGTATGACTTTCAATATCAACCAACTTTTTCATATATAATGATAATACATTTATTTTATATATATATTTATCTCTATTGTGAGGGTACAGTAACCCACTTTTTCACCTCATTTTCATAGATTTCTATATTAAACGCACTTTCAAGTGACAAAGGTATTCACAATCATACATTAATTATATTTACTTTTTCTTTTTTTTAATACAGTATATAAAAATGGCAATTTCAATTCAGTCAACACAGTTTCTAAAGTTATAAAATACAAAATAAAAATAAATTAATAGAGAGATAAATGTCTCCAGCACTCATGAGCACCATACCTTTGTATCAATTTCGTCAGCTTTTTCAACTGCTTCTTGATTAATGAAAGCCATCATGTGTTCTATCTATAAATTAATTTAAGAAATGTTTTGTGATTTCAATTCCTGAATAAAATGAAGTTATACTGTATGTCTAAAAGAATCTTGTATCTTGTATAAAAAAAGATAATTTTTTTGTAAATGTTTAAAGACCACTTTTTAGAACATAGGGCTTATGTCAGGCTATGTTTCTGGACAAAATGGTAATAAACCAAATGGCAATAAGTCAAAACAGCAATGACCAAAACAGCAACACTTTTTGAAAATAACGGCAATAGACCAAAACGGCAATAAGTCAAAACTATGCTAAACAATTTATGTCATAAAAGTAAAAACGCAAAAAAATAAACTAATTGCAAACTTGAAGTGTACAGTATAACGATTAAATATGGTAAAAATGAGGCTAAATACTGTAGCAGCAGCAGCAGCAATAATATCAATAACAATAATAATAATCAGGGTTCTCCACAGAAATTTTTTAACCTGTAATGGGAAAAGGCGAAAGGCCACATTTTTTGCATGGCGCGCACTATAAGCTGTAATAAGGTTACATGCAGCGCAGGCTTTTGCGTGCACTGCGCATAAGACCATCCGAAGCGTAAGTTTATTTTACCTGACCGATTTCTAAAACATGTCATATATTGCTAATGTTTTTTGAGGCATATAAGACTACTGTAATTAAGTGTATAATGGGTACTCTGTGGTGTGGTCTGTCTCTTATACACATCTAGATGTGTATAAGAGACAGTATACATAATAATAATAATAATAGCATACAAATTCAATATTAAAAAGATTAGAGGGGGAATCATAAAAGCAGTAAAAAATTTAAACAAATAAAACTTCAAATACAAAAATGAGCCTAAACAATTTATGTCATAAAAGTTAAATAATGCGAAATAATAATAATAAAGATTAAAAAGTGGGAAAATAGCGCCCATGGCAATATTCAATTCGCCTATTGGGACAATTTCAAAATGATTCAGAAAATTATAAAACTGTGGCGCTTGTAAGCTTGGCAATGATTTCGCTTCATTGCAATTTTGGTCTATGCTGTTTGGTACTTGTTATTGCTGTTTTCGGCTGTTGCCGTTTTGGTTCATTGCCGTTTTGGTCATTGCCATTTTGGTTTATTGCCATTTTGACGTGCTACCCAGGCTATGGCTTTTGAAAGGTACAAATTAATATCAATTATCAGTCACCATCATCACCCGTAGGTGAGAGCTCCCACTCACCCCCCACTCTACTAAAAAAAAAAAATTGATTAAATAAGCATTTGAAAAGTTTTGCTCTTGTTGGGTAGATCACTTCCCGCACACATTTCCAACCCCCCATCCCCCACCCCGGTCGTTAGTAAATTGTGATTTGATTAGGATATAAATTAGTGAATTCAATCCAACTTGGCCACAAGTCAACTCGGCCACAAGTAAACTTGGCCACAAAAAGTTTGTCTACAGTCAACTCGGCCACAAGTCAACTCAGCCACAAGTCAACTTGGCCACAAATCAACTCGACCACAAGTCAACTGCAGCCTATTTACTGGTACTACACTTTGAAGGATTAATTCATGAAGTATAAAATACTAATTCTTTTAGTATTACTGCAGGTATAACTTATTATTATTATTATTGCTGTTATTACTGTTGTCATTTATCTTATTATTGTTGTTTTTTTTTATTTACCATTAACATTATGCATTGTTTAAATTGTTGCTGATATTATTATTATTGTTACCATATAAATAATAAATAATTCTCCATTTTATTATTATTATTATTACAGTATTACTATTATATATTAGTCTTAGTATTATTATTTTAATAGTAATTTAAAAATTATTGTTACTGGTGTTTTATTGGTATTTTTCTCATATTATTATTATTATTTATATTATTGTTGTTGTCACCTTTAATATCGGTATTATTACCCTATTATTACTAAGTAGGCCTAATATTATAAGTATCATCATTATTATTACTAATTAGGAGTATTATTATTATTATTATAAAAATAAACATTATCTTTAATTTATTATTGTTGTTATTATTGCTATTATCACCTTCAATATCATTATTATCGTGCTAATTAGTATTATTAAAATAGATATTTAAATATCGTTATTATTACCAATTAATATTATTACTATTAGTATTGTTAAAATAAATATTACTATTAATAAATTGTTGTCACCTTTATTATCGTTATTATGACTAAATAGGTTTAAAGTAAATATTAATTTATTGTCCTTATTATTGTTTAATATTATTGTTGAAGTAGAATGTGAGTAAACAGAAGACAAACACAAGACGTCAGTAAGATTTTCTTGTAATAATCATTATTTAATTACTGTAGGTCTACTTCCGTAAGTTATTAGTTATCTAAAAGGAGATATTATGGGCAATGCCTAAGCTCCACTAACCATGTTGGAATATTAATGTCTATGATACGTGGATTTCATCAACTTTTTCATCTATTTTGTTTTTCAAATGTTATTGTTTCGGTGTTAGGTGTAGTACTGTCATTTTGGATATCTAAATTATTTTGGAAATATCATTACCGATTATCCTTTTTGAAATTAAAAAAAAAAATCCATTACTTCATTGCTATTCACTGGATTATTCCCAGGCCCGTAACCATGGGGGTTCAAACGAATCCTCTTTTTTAAGATTTGCCCTTTTGAAAGTGTATGTAAAATTTCTAGAGTGACATTTCTAGGCATCTAAGGATCAAGGTCACGAAAATTAGTACTGTAATTTGTAACAAAAATTCTGTCATTGGTGAAAAGTCCTAAAAGCAGCTGGTCTATAAGAAAAACTGTAAATTTACCATTATAAAGTATTTACCCTTCAACCAATTTTAGAAAAACAAAATTACTAAAATTCACTGAAAAAATTTGAAACCCCACCCCCCACCTTTACAAATGCTGGCTATGGCTTTGATTCCCTAATTTGTTCAAGTCATCTTCCATCGGTGATTCATGTCATTGGGTGCATCCTTGTCACTGACGGGTTTCAAACATACTGTAGCTTCCACTGGTCGAACAAATATGAAGGACTGAAGCAAAATGTCTGTCACTAAACAATACCAATTGTTCCTATTGTGGATTTCTAAAGAAAATAGTATCGAAATGCACGCCATCCATCGTGCATTCATTTAATTTTAGTCGGATTCAAAATAAATTTTTAACATTAAAAAAAAATCATGTTTTTTCTTTTTCAATTTTATGATTAGGTCTACAGTGTACTCATGTTTTATGTCAGTGTTTTAACATGAAAAAAATTAAACATTAATACGTATATGTGTTGTTCTTATTAAGATTGCTTAAATTGTTACATATTGTTGTTATTAAGTTAAATTATATTAAGTTATTGTTAAATATTATTGTTCTCATTAAGATTGCTTAAATTGTTACATATTGCGAGATTTTATTCCATTCTGTAAGTTTCGGGTTTTCTCTGTTGAATAAGAGTACTGTGTGAAGAAATGAATACGAAACGATCTCACGACGATGATCAGAATTTTACTAAAATACACTGTGTACATTTCAATCATATTGAAGAAAAAGGTTGCAAAAACTAAGTAATATTTACATTTCATTTTAAATTATTTTATTCTATATAGGCCTATAACATGTTATACCGTATATTATAAATAACTCGTGGCCGAGTTAACTTGTTGTGGCCGAGTTGATTTGTGGCCAAGTTGACTGTCTGTAGCCGAACTTTTTGTGGCCGAGTTAATTTGTGGTCGAGTTGACCTGCTTTCAGATTAGTATTTATTGCTATAAAAAGAAAAGCTTCCAGAAAGCTGACCAGGGTAATCTAGGCCTAGACCTGAGGGCCTAGCCTATGTCAAACAGGGAGTTGTTATAACAACTCCTTGGTCAAAGGATCCGTTCCGTCGTCTAGTCTCTCCATTCACGAACATTTTTAGTGGTCTAACACTATCGTCTGACTAGCCTAGGCTGGGCCTAGGCCTAGCCTAGGCCTCCTAGGCCTCTAGCCTAGCTCCCTAACTAGAAAAAATAATATTATTAATAAATTCAGCGTCTATACCTGTTTCTGAACATCTTCTTCGTTGAGCGCCATGTTTAATGCCTATAAAATGTGTAAATGTGTCACAGAAAATAATTTCTTATTATTTAGTATTTCAATAATTCAGTTCCACAAAACCACCCACTTTTCTACATACGGTATAGTATATTAATCATGTGACGAATCACTAAAAAGCTAGAAACACAAGATAGTGCATTCGCATAGCAAATGTGAGGCGGATATACGTCACATCTTTTACACAAAGCCAGTCGTAAGCGGCGCCCTTCAGTTTTCAATATAGCAATTTACCATAGAGCTATTAAGCTCTGCGTATTTCGAACATCGAATACATTGCTGTTAGCGCTCTAGTATTCTTATTATATCTCTGTGGCTCAGGCGAAATTTGATTGGCTGAATCTATGGCAGCCATCTTGGATGGTACACACACACAGCTCTGCGTATTTCGAACATCGAATACATTGTTAGCGCTCTAGTATTCTTATTATATCTCTATGCAATTTACACACGTTTATGCAGTTCACTATGGAACGCCAATGTTAAGCACCGAACGTATGTTAAAATTTCAATTTCAATTTCAAATAAACATTTATTTCTTCACACAATACAATATAATATCAAAAGGTAAATATTGAACAGTCAGATTTCATTTAAAAAAAAAAAGAAGACTTGTGTGAAAGAGCTCAAAAAGTATACGCCAAATGATGAAAGGAAAAACCATTCATCAAGTGGCACTTGTAACGAGCGACCCATATAATAACGAAAGCATATATTTCTTTGGAAAAAAAATGCATAAACGAAACAAATACAAAACACGGATACAACAGAAAGCAGAGGGGGGAATTGGAGAAATGATTAGGCAAAGATTTATCAATATTATAATAATGGTATTAGAAAAATAACCCTTGATTTTGATTTGATTTAAGCATATTTAGATAAAAGATATTTCTTGACCTTAAAAGTGAAAATTTTCCTGGAAGGGGCCGATATAATTTCAAGGGGGAGTTCATTAAAAGTTTGGAACCACTATATCGAATATTGTGTTGGAGATTTATATTGAAAACAGACAACTGATGCAAAGCAAGAAAAAGTGGAGCAGAGTGAGCAAGGAATGGAGCATCTGAAATTATATGGACAGCTTTTTTTTGGAGCTTGTAAATTTGTTCAAGGTTGGATTTGTAATTGTTTGCCCAGATAATATTGCAGTAACTAATAAAAGGAAGAACAAGGGATGAATAAATGGAGAGAAGTATCTGACTTTGAAGAAAGAAAGAGAGACGATAAATAATACCAATACTTTTTGCTATTTTCAGTTCAACTTCTTTTATAAGATTTTTGAAATTAAGTTCATGGTCGAGGTCAATACCTAAGAATTTTGTGTGTTAAACATGTGGAATTGGGTGGTCTCCTATATAAATACTACCGATCTCGTCAAATCTGGATTTGTGGCGGCTTCCAAACAGCATGAAGTTACATTTTTCAACATTAACCGAAAGTTTATTAACATTGAAATATTCGGTGACATTTTTTAATTCATGATTAATGGAGTAAAAAAGAGAAACAAGGTTAGAATCTGAACAGAAAATGGTGGTATCGTCAGCATAAAGGTAAAAAGTTAACATTTTAGAGGAGTTGGGTAGGTCATTAATATAAAGAGGAAACAAAAGAAGACCAAGAAGAGAACCTTGGGAAACACCACAAGTTAAAAATTTGAAATTTGAAGAAGTGCTGTTAACGTTTGTACATTGCTGACGATTAGTTAAATAATCTTTAAATAAATTTAGGGCAGTTCCCCGGATACCATAATTGAAAAGTTTAGAGGTGAGAATATTGTGGTTAATAGTGTCAAAAGCTTCTGATAGGTCAATAAATATAACAGCAGAAAATAGTTTGCTTTCAATTGAGTCAGAGATTTTATAAGATCAATTAAAGCAAAAGCTGTAGAATATTTTTTCATAAACCCAAATTGCTTGCAATAAAGAATATTATGTTTGGTAATAAAATTATATGTACGATCATAAATGATTTTTTCAAGAATCTTGGAAAATAAAGGAAGAATTGAAATAGGGCGATAATTATTTGGGTCAGATTGATCACCTTTCTTAAAAATAGGTGTAACTTTGACAATTTTCATGCTGTTCGGAAACACTCCGCAGATGAGGCAGATGTTAAAGATATGTGAAAGTGGGAAAAGGATAGGATAAATAGAACATTTAACAACTTTGATATTGATGTCATCAATGCCTGGGGCTTTGTTTTTTTTTTTTAAAGAATTAACAATTTTAAAAATGTCTTCCTCATCAACTGGAAAAAGAAAAAGTGAGTCGGGTGTAGGGGCGTCAAGATATTCATAGAAGGTTTTAGGACTTAAATTAGTTATTCTTTGTGCTAGTTTGGGGCCAATACTTGTAAAGTGGTCGTTAAGTAAGTTTGCATTTGAGAGAGAATTTTTAGTTAATTTACCATCAATTTTCATTTCAATGTCTATATTGTTGTTTTTGTGGGACTTTAGAAGAGAGTTGATGGCTTGCCAGGTCCCTTTAATATTATTTTTTAGTTTACTAAACTAATTTGTATAGTAATATTTTTTTTACAGCTCTTAAAATTGAGTTTAACTTATTTCTATAAGATTTATATTTACAAATATTAGTTTTGTTGGGATGACGGAGACTCTTTGAATAAAGCTTGTGCTTGTACTTAATTGATTTAAGTAGTCCGTCAGAAATCCATGGTTTGAGTTTAGTTTTATATTGGGATTGAGAAATAAAGGGGAAATGTTTGTTGTAAAGATTGGTATATTTCTCTAAGAATATATTGAATGCTATGTTTGGGTCCCAGGCATTGATAACATCATCCCAAGAACAATTAAGAAGGTCAATGCGGAATTTATTAATGTTATTGTCATTTATTTGTCTAAAAGTACGTTTTTTGTTAGTATTACTTCCGTTCCTACAATTTTCATTGTCATCACTGTTACAAGATATGTTGAAGACAGGAAGATGATCTGTAACGTCACTAATAATAGTTCCACTGTTAATTGAGGATGCAATATCATTTGTGATGGTATTGTCTAGAAGAGTAGCGCTATTATGAGTGATTCGTGTCGGTCTGTGGATAAGAGTAAAAAAAGAATTATTAAAGAGACAATTAATGAAATCTTTACTATTATTATCAAACTCAATTTTAAGGAGATCAATGTTAAAATCACCTAAAATATAAATTCGTTTGTTTTCTTTGGAAATCCGCTTAAGTAATAAGTCAAATTGCTCGGTAAAAAAAGAAATGTTAATTATGTGTGGTCGATAAATAGTTCCAACAATTAGATTCTTACCTTTGGTTTCAATTTCAATGAAGTGAGAATCACAAAAATATGGGCTAGCTGACAAGTCTGTTCTTGTTTTGAAAGAAAGACCATTTTTTACATACATAAGAACACCACCACATTTGTACGAACGAGGTTTCAAAGTGATAGAATAGTTTGGAATATTAATAAGTGGATTTTCAGATTTCATCCAAGTTTCAGATATAGAAATAACATCAAAATTAAAATTTAGTGATTCAAGACAATTAGAAAGTGAATCAAATTTTTTTTTTGTAGACTTCTGGCGTTGAAATGAATACAGGAAAATTTTCTGCCATAATCAGAGCTGAATTTTTGAGAAAATTCGTAAGGTAAATAATGGTTTGACAAGCTCATGTTGTCGAAAAAATTTAAATCTGGATCAATATCAATTAAGTGTTTATTAGATGTAGAGTAAGGATTAAATAAAATATAAGATAATCGATCAAAGCTTTTTGCAGTGTGTACATTTGACGTCCCCGTACTTGCGCAAATAATTATACACAACAAACAGACAAGTATAAGATAAAAAATATGAGAAAAGAGAAGGTTTTAGGATCAAGATACGGTATACTTTAGGGTAAAAAGTACACACGTAATAAGATTATCGATACGATTAACAGTGAAAATAAAGCGATAATTAATAATATATAATAATGAGAATAAAATTAATACTTCAAGTAATAATAATCATTAATATTAACAGTAACAATAATGTAGTAGAATAATAAAATAATAATAATAATAATAATAATAATAATAATAATAATAATAATAATAACGATAAACATAGAGTTGATAAATAATGGTTGGTGAAACTGGATTTGTATATCCCAAACAGTACAACCCATGCACATATATACATATACATACATACACATATGTATAAAAAAAATTTTAAAAAAATTTAAAAAAATAAAAAAAATAAAAATAAAAAATTTGAAAAAATAAAAATAAACAAAAAAAAAGTAAAATAAACATATGAAACAATTAAATATAACAAGCAAAAAATGAATAATAATAATAAATAAAAAAGCACCGAACGTAATGTTAAAAGCACCGAACGTAATGTAAAAGCACCGAACGTAATGTTAAAAGCACCGAACGTAATGTAAAAAGCACCGAACGTAATGTAAAAAGCACCGAACGTAATGTAAAAGCTCCGAACGTACGTATTGTTAAAAGGGCCGAATAGCAAATGCGCCGAACGGAAAAGAGCCACCAAAGACAGTAACGGCGTTCCATAAATAACATACTGTAGTCGATCCATAAAGCAATAATTTTAAGAATGCAGATCATTTCGGTCGCGCTTCGTTTCGGTCGCGCTTCACTTCGGTCGCGCTTCATTTCGGTCGCGGTTTGTTTTCAACAAATATATGGAGCGCCAATGGAGTTGCGAAACGCTAAATTTAATATAACTAGGCCTAATTACCATTGCAAGTTCGTCAATCGGTTTATCATACTTTTTTTTAAATTTATGTTTTGTTGTATTTCTAATAAGTAACAACGTAGGCTACTTAAAAGCAAATAAAATTAATACTATTATTACTAAACTATCAATTAATATTATCGGACGGTTTTTATTTTCGTTTTGTTATGAATCCTACGCTTTCTACTACATAACAAATGTAGCAAATAAAATAAATACTAAAATATGATATGATGTTATTTATTATTATTATTATTATATATTATTATTTATTTATTTACATTGTATCAGGAAAACCCAGCCAATTTGTCATTTAAATTACTGTAAAATTAGTTTATTAACAATTATTTTTATTAGTATTAAAGTTTGTTATTTTTACTATATTACTGTATAACTTGGTGCTATTTTTCTTTTTTTACAGAAACAACGCA